ACTTTTCTCCTTTCATATGTAAGGGAATTGGGTCACTAAGAACTCAGGTCACTTCCTAGAAGTCACAGAAGGGATGTGCAAATGGTGGGTGGTACCAGATGGCCCCTGACGATATCCCCACGTCACAGTGCTGGCACTAACACCCCGCACTCTGATCAGATCTTTAGTTGTGTTTTGTATATCTTTATTTCAACTTGGTGCCAACTTACGCTAACCTCAGTAATTAACTGAATAACCTTCTTCTCTTCTTTTTTATCTTATAAAATATGTCAGACTCGGGCCTGGCATGGTAGCCACTAGGTTGAAGTCCTTGCTTTGCATACACCAGGATCCCATAAGGGCCCAGGTCCATGTTCCGGCTGCTCCACTTCCTTCTGTTTCCCTCTCTGTAAATCTGCCTTTCCAATAAAAAGAATTAAAATCTCAAAAAAAAAAAAAAAGTCAAACTCCTATAAAACTCGTTTCAGGGTCGTTGCTGTGGCATAGTTGGCTAAGCCTCTGCCTGCAGTGCTGGTGTTCCAAATGGGGGATCAGTTAATGTCCTAGATGCTCCAGTTTCCATCCAACTCCCTGCTTATGATCTGGGAAACAGACAGAGGATGGCTCAAGTCCTTGGGCTCCTGCACCCATGCGGGAGACCTGGAAGAAGCCCCTGAGTTCTGGCTTTGTGCTGGTCCAATTCCAGTCATTGTGGCCATGTGGAAAGTGAGCCAGCATATGGAAACCCTCTCTGTCACCCATCCTCTCTGTAAACTTACCTTTCAAATAACAGTAAAAAGAAATCTTTTTTTTTTTTTTAACTTATTTCAACTGGAATGAATTTGCCACTTATTTTATTGGCTTGCCCTTTCTTTGAGAGGCAAGGATCTCTGAGATTCCCTATCTTTTTTTTAAAGATTTATTTTTATTATTTTTGTATTGGAAAGGCGGATATACAGAGAGGAGAGACAGAGAGGAAGATCTTCCGTCCGATGATTCACTCCCCAAGTGAGCGCAACGGCCGATGCTATGCCAATCTGAAGCCGGGAGACTCTTCCCACGCGGGTGCAGGGTCCCAAAGCCTTGGGCTGTCCTCGACTGCTTTCCCGGGTCAAAGGCAGGGAGCTGGAAGGGAAGCGGGGCTGCTGGGATTAGAACCGGCGCCCATATGGGATCCCGGGTGTGCAAGGCGAGGACCTTAACCACTGTGCCACCGCGCCGGGCCCAAGATTCCCTATCTTACAGGTTCACTGCCTGATTTCTTGCAGCAGCCAGGACTGGGCCAGGGCTACAGCTGAGAGCTAGAAACTCAGCTCAAATCCCCCATTTGCACAGCACAACACAATCACGTGTGCCATGCCTGCTACCTCAGCAGGAAGCTGGAGTTGGGAGATGCAGCTGGGACTCAAAGCTGGACTGGAATCCTAAGGCCACCCTTGCTCTCCTAGCCTTCAGTCGCCTCAATGTATTTCCAAATGTCAAATTCAAAGGAAGAATTGCCAAGACCATACAAAGAACATTTTCATCACCTCTGAATCCTACAGTAGGCTTTACCTGCGAACACAGATTGGCTCCCGGGTGGGCCACGATACAGACACTGTGGAAGATAAGCAGCTGTTTTACCAGGCATTGTTCGACCTGCGATTGCCCAGCATATCTTCATGAGAGCATCAAGCTCCCACAGGACTTCCTGGAGACCAACTCCGGCTGACTTGAGAGCTTGCGTGGATTGGCAAGAAAAAGAGGAGACGAAACGTGGACCATTACAGCGTGATGCTCATAATGGACAACTCAGAAAAGTTGCCTTCTTTATTTATACAGAAATCATTGCAAGCTTTTGCACAACATCCAATTGTATCATTTTTACTTCATTATAAAAGAATGATTACAAAATCAATGCTAAAAAATCATTATTATTATTTTACTTCAGAGAAAATATTTTCAGCAAGCTATTACTCACTCAAACCTGCAGTGACCTGGCTGAAGCCAGAACTCCACGGTTGGCAGCACATGCAGTTACATAGTGACAAGTGGTTAACTTAGATCCAAAATCAATTTTCACTAATCCTAAACTAACTAATATTACTTAAAATATCAAGAGTACAAAGTTAAAAGATCATAAGTAAAAGGAATGTATAAAAGCATATATCATCATTTTTTTTATTAAATCTTATAATCAATCATGCATTAATTACCATCACCTTCACCTAGTGCTGATTCAACCGTTTTTTGTTCTTTTGTTAAAGGGCAGTGAGAGGGATCAGGGCAACTCAGCCATTCTAAAACAGAGGGCCTTTACAAGAAACTTCTTTTTGTCTTTATAAGCTGTTTTCTTTCCCTAAATATGAGTGCCAATATAAGGTTGACAGTTTAAGCCATTTGGGGAGGTGGTTCACATTTGATTCCCTTTAGAAGATGCCCCATATATTTTCTGTGTTCTGTAGTGAGAAACCAAAATGCTTTATTCAATGTGTTGTAACAGTTTGAGGCACAAACTCTTTGTACCTCCATGATCGCCATCTGTTTCAAGGTATTATCAAGCCATTTCTTAAGGAAAACATTACTTACGGTACGGCAAGCTTCAGGACAAAGGTGGGCACATAACAGGATGTTTGGAGACATTGTGGGCTCAATTGTACTTTTGTATGCTTTTAAACTGTGTGTCATTGCCTTAAGTTGCTAAAGACACTTTTACCATAACTTGATTGATTGATTGGTTTGAGGTGTTATTATACCAGTTACAGGAATCATTTCACATTTGCAGAAAAACAACAACGACACCCTCAGGAGAATTCTACGAAACATCAGAGAGGTGATTGAGTGTCCATACAATGGGGTGAGGCAGCAATGAGGTGACCAGAGACATTCTGCCGGCCTTGCCACGCAGTCAGAAACTCCTCGCAGCCTTGCTAAGCAAGGAGCGGTACTCATCACACACCCATGCCAACCGCCCACCTTCCCGCAAGGACCTTTGCAAGGAACGTGACAAAAATGCCTTGTTTTGTTTACATTGCATCCTGGAGGCGGTGCAGTTTGATTTACCCTTGGGTTGTTTGTTTCCATGCCTTTGCTAAGGTGTCCTGCTAGTTTCCATAACAAATGACCAGAAACTTACTTTCATTCTTTTCTTTTTTCTTTTCTTTTCTTTCTTTCTTTCTCTTTCTCTCTCTTTCTTTCACTCTCACCTTCTGAAGTTAAAAAATCTCAGATCAGTCTTAACCCAAAGGTGTTGCCAGGGGCAGGTCCAGGAAAAAAAATCATCTGTTTCAGACCTCTGCTTCTAGAGGCAGCCCTGGCCCTCTCTGGCTGATAGCTGCATCACCCCCAATTCCTTCTCCCCGTCACTATGCTTTGCTCCCCTGTCCTTCTCGTTGGGACTCTGGGACCACACCCGGCATTTCCCATCCCAGCATCCTTAGCACCATTGCACCTGCAAAAGTTCCTTTGCCGTACCCTCACCAGGTCACTGTCACAGCTTCTAGACCACAATGGAGCACGGAGATAGGGCATCCTGCGGTCATCCACAGGTGGAATCTTGCCCAGCTTCTCCTCTGAACAGTTCATGCTCCCTCCGTTAACAATCAGTGAGTATCCTCAAGTGACCCCTTTCTCACCAAGCTTCCCAATCGATTGCTCATCTCCTCCAGTATCGACTCCTAGTGTCTGTTGAACTCGACCAGTCGTGATTCATCACTGTCAGAAAGGATTTATCTGAAAGGCAGCATGGCAGCGGGGCAGGGGGAGGAGGGAAGCAGAAAGACAAAGAGTGTTCTCTCTGGTTCACTCCCCCAGATGACCACGAAGGCGGGTCTAAAGCCAGGAGCTTCTTCTGGGTCTCTCACAAGGGTGCAGGGGTCCAAGCACTTGGGCTGTCTCCCACTGATTTCCTAGGCGCTTTAGCAGGGAGCCGAAGCAGAAGTGGAGACTCAGCGACTTGAACTGGCATCCATAGGGGATGCCAGCACCTGCCAGGATTGATGCCAGTACAGTATTGATTTCCAAGCTCAACGTGCCCCAAAGGCGGCTTCTTTGTCCTACCCTTCTTGCCCAGTGGCAGCTCCATCCTCTTCCTCCCCGCCCACCTTGGCTGGCTGAACTCCGGACCGTGCGCATGGCTCTTTCAGGTTCCTGTGCGCTGGGTGACACTTAGGGGAGGATGCAGAGGTGACAAACCAGAGCAGCAGACCTCCCCTCCCTCCCTGTTTCTTTAGCACTGTTCCCCACGCCCCACCACCCCTTTCCTAGAGGCAGGTGCCTTCGAACTGCCAGCCTGCAGCCGAGGGCTTGCCAGGCCCTCTTCCCGCAAGAAGACCTGGCCCTGCCTGAGCGGCCAGGATTTCGCTTCGGGTTTTGAATGAGCTGATTGCTCAAGCCCACACTGCCTCTGAGAATTTACTCGTCCTGTCAAGCCTTTTCTTGGCGAAGAGCCCCAGATCCTCTGACCCACTGCAAAGACAAGGCCAGCTCCCTGGCACCCACATGGTGGCTGTTTCAACGTCATGTGACAGACAGAACATCAGATGCCAGCAAGAAAGGTTTGGGGAGGACCAGAGGGAAGGCATGGGCGGAAAGGCCCGAAAAGGGAGGTGCTAGGCGGCCTTTGGAGGGGCCCCTCTCTGCCCCCTGTTCCTGCCCTTCCTTGCCCTGGTCTGCAGGGGTCAGGGCTGCTGCGAACGGGGGTCCAGATCTGCAGGAGAAGGGAGCTGCCCTGCCAGACCCTGCCAGGTCCCCAGACTCCAGGGGTGCAGCCCCGACCCTTGCGCTCAGCAGCGGCACACCCCTGGACCTCCACAGCTAACCCACCCTGCCCCCAGTCATCACCCAAGCAGCCCTGGGGCGCCCCCCACCCCACCCCGGGGTGGCCACGCCCATCCCCAGGAGGAGGGGCTGCCGGCGGGGCCCTGCGCGGAATCCCAGCGCTTGCTGCCGCGCCGCTCGCGCTCCAGAACCCGGCCGAGCGGCACTCGGCGGCTGGCGCGGCTCGGGGCGCGCGGGGCCCGACGGCGGAGCTGGCGGCTGCCATGCGGGCCGTGCACCCCCTGCTCCTCCTCTCCCTGCTCGCCCTGGGTGGGCGCGGTGAGTGCTCTGGCCGGGAGCAGGGCAGATCCGGCTACAGGTGGAGGGTGGATGGGGAGGAGTGGCCCCAGGTGGTCCGGATGGAGGGAGGGGGCGCGGGCGGGGCCGTGGCGTGGGAGGTGTGGGACCCTGGGCCCTCCTCGCTCGGGTCTGCACTGAGCTGCGCGCGCGCAGGGCGGCTGCGGCCACCGACCCGCCCTGATCCTGCGGTGCGGGGCAGAGTCTTGAGCAGCCCGGCAGGGTCAGCACCTCCACCGGTGAAGGGTGCGCTCCGCATCCAGGGACACACGGCGGGTGCCCCTTCCTGCTGGGCCACCCTGCGCCCGTGCCTTTCTTCCCTGCCTACTGCCTCAGTTTCCCCATCAGTTCTACAGCGATGGTAGACCTATGTCCTGGGGGACTTAGGTGTGCGTGGGGGTCATGACAAGGTTTCTTTAAAAAAAAATAGTAATAATTTAATTTTTATTTGAAAGGCAGAGTTACAGAGAGAAAAGGAGAGACAGATTTTCCATCCGCTGATTCACCCTCCAATGGTCCCAATGGCCAGAGCTGGGGCAGGCTGAAGCCAGGAGCTTCTTCTGGGTCTCCCCACGTGGATGCAGGGGCCAAAAACACGTGGGTCATCCTCTGCTGCTTTCCCATGTGCATTGACAGGGAGCTGAATCGGAAGTGGAGGAGCTGGGCTCTGACGGGGGATGCTGACCCTACAGGTGGGGACTTAACCAACTTTGTCACAGCTCCAGCCCTGCAGGGCTTATTAAAGTGTGGTCCTCCGTGCAGACTCCTGAACCCCACTGTAAGCTCAGGGGTGTGGGATTTCAGGAAATGGTGCCTGGGAATCTACACGGGTCCCGACATCCAGGTAACTCCGGGAGCTGCCTTTTCACACATAGGACTCAGGCATTTGTTTCTTGATTGACTTGCCAGCTAAAGGCACACACCCACTGGGGTTGTCCAACTCACCCCTTCAAAGGCTTACACGCCCCGGAGACGCTGTGTCTAAGTCCAGGTTTGCAATGGGAGATGCATCCCTTGCTGAACCCTCCTGTCTGACTGCTGGAAGAGCAAGTTTTTCAGGAAAAGTACCCCCTCGCCGACCCCGACTAGGGGCGCCCACTCCTCATCAGAATTGCAGGTGGAGACTGGCCCCTAGTGGTGGCCTGTGAGTATGAGGGCTGGGCTGAGATTCCTGTGTTAGTCCTCTTCGGGACCAGGTGTGATGGTGAAGGGTCGCCCCCTGGTCTTGTGAGCTCCACTCAACCCCCACACGTGCTGCTCTGGGTCCATCCCCTCCAACACACACTCTTGGGGTGAGAGGAGTATGTCTCAATTGTCACAGCAGCCCCTCTCTTCCTGCCCCCACCCCCACACACAGTCACAAGCAGAAACACGGTCTAAGAGGGCTGTGTGTGGAGGCAGCTCCCAGGCCTGACTCTGCCTCTGACTTGCTTTGTGGGGGTGTCCTTCAATGCCCTCCTGTTCTCTTGGGGATCAGTTTCCACAGCTGGTAAGTGGAGCGGGGCAGGGGGAAGATGACCTGCGGTTTGGGGACTTCTGACAGGACCCCATGGCTGGTCATCATGACAGAGCCTGGTCAGGCCTGGACACTGCCCTGTGGAGCAGGGAGGGTCAGAGGTGGTGGCCAGCCTAGATGCTATACTAAAGCAATCCTGCAGGGGGCGGCCTGGTAGAGCTCCAAGGCTAGGCCAGCCTGGCCGGGTACTGAAGCAGCTGGCCTCCCGGAGAGGGGTTCTGGCTATGAGAGGCTGAGAATCTAGGCCAAGCTTCCCCAGGACTCCCCTCTGCAGAGCCCCCCGGGGCAGTGTGGGGGAGGGGCGGCTGGCAGCAGGTGCATGGGTCCATGGGGAGTGTCTTGCAAGGCGCTAAATATTGCATCTGCTCCAGATGGGCAGCGAGTTGGAAAGCCCCTGCTTGCAGGCAGTGGGGCAGTGGCTGCTGCTCCCAGACTGGGCCTAGTGTCCAGGAAGAACCCTGGGCTCCCTGGCCCTTTTCAGAGGTGGAGACTGGGTGGGACTCACAGATGGCCATGGGTGGGGGGATGTGACCAGAGCACCGGGGCCTGGTGACCCAGGCACTGCCCTGGCCAGCATCCCTGTCTTACTTTTTTTCTCCCTCTGCCAACCTGCTCTTCCGCTCAGCACTGCTTCCTCTGTCTCTTTTTCCTTACTGCTGGGCTTTCCCATTTGGAGGGCCTGGCCTTTCCCAAAATCTTCCTCTTTCCAAGGTGCAACCCTTCTCCATCCTCTCCCCACACACATCTTCTCTGCCGACCTCAGAGCTCACAAGGTGAACCTGACCTGTACCCTCAGACACCCAAGGGAGAAGAGATAAAGTCCACGTGGGAAGAGAATGGGGACAGCCCTGAGTCTATGGGGGGATGGCGGTCCTAGGTCCCCCGCCCAAGGAGGCTGCACCAGGGCTGGGTCCCTGCACCTGGCGGCTCACAGGGACCATGCGTTCTGCAGGTCTCTCATGAAGAATCCCAAGGGACATGAAAAGCACAACAGCTGGCCTGGGGTGGCCTCTCTGATGAACCAAGGGAGGGATGAGGAGTCGGTGCCCCCAGCTGGAGGAGATGCTCAGAGCGAGGAGGGGTTTATGGCCAGAAGGAGCGAGGGAGGGAAGAGGTACAGTCTCGGACAGTAGCTGAGCTCTGGTTTGTGGGATGTTGGAGAGGTGTTTGGTCTAGTGACGATGACCCCACGTGGTCATAGCGGCTCACAGCTGTCCCTTGGGACACACACATGCTGCATGGGAGTGCCTGGGCTGAGGGGCTGCTCCCACTGTGCACATCCTGGGAGGCAGTGTGGGAGCAGTCAAGGGCTCCCACCCCTCCCCCACCCTCCACGTGGGAAACCCGGATGGAGTTCCAGCTTCCTAACTTTGACCTGACGGAGCCCTGGCTGGTGCGAGCATCTGGGAGAGGCAGAACCAGTGCATAGAAAAGCCTTCTGTCATTCTGCCTTTCAAAGAATAAAACTCCAGATGTTACGTGGGTGCTCACCTCTAGGGTGGCAGGGTCCAAGGTTCTAGTTGCATTCTTATCTTAGTTTTCTGGTTAGGAGCCCCTGGGAGGCAGCAGGTGTTGGCATGAATCGGAGGGGGGGGTGTCCCTACTTGGGACCATCCACATGGAAGGCCAAGATGGAGCTCCTGGCTCCGGGCTTCAGCCTGCCCTAGCCCCAGTCATTGTGACCATTTGGGAGATGAACCAGTCAGTGAAATCTCTCTCTCTCCCTCTCTTCTTCTCCCTCACTCCACTTCTGCTCATCCACTCTCTGTAACTGCCTATCAAACACATAAAAATAAATTTTGAACAAAAAAAATTTTTTTTTTCTCCAGGGCCAGCGTTGTGACACAGTGTGTTAAGCTGCTGCCTACATGACAACATCTCATATGGGCACCAGTTCAAGTTCTGGCTGCTCCACTTCCAATCCAGTTCCCTGCTCATGGTCTGGTGCTTGGGGCCTTGCACTGTGTGGGAAACCTAGAATAGGTTCCTAACTGCTGGTTTCATCCTGGCCTAGTCCTGGCTAATGTGGCCATTTGGGGGAGCAGACCAGCAGATGGAAGAGCTCTCCATCTCCCTCTCTGTAACTCTGCCATTCAAAGAAATTCTTAGGGGGTGGGGGTAATCCCCTTGTATTCAATTTGAAGCCTCTAAGGAGAGGCTGCCAGGCTCCAGCCGGCCGCTCCCCTGAGGGTGTGGACAGTCTGGCTCTCAAGGCTACCCAGCCCTAGTCGTCTGACTCTTGTGTGTGTGTGTGTGTGTGTGTGTGTGTGTGTGTGTGTGTTCCCAGGGGATGGCCGCTTGGCCAATGCCGAGGAGAAGCTGATGGACGACCTCCTGAACAAGACACGCTACAACAACCTGATCCGCCCAGCCACCAGCTCCTCGCAGCTCATCTCCATCCACCTGCAGCTCTTGCTGGCTCAGCTTATCAGCGTGGTAGGTGATGTGGGCAGGAGGGATATACAGAGAGAGAGCATGCATGGCTGTTGGAGCATGCAGGGCCCAGAGCCAGGTGATTCAAGCTTTCCTGGACGATCAGACTGAGAGGCCAAACCCTGGATGTATCCCTGGATCTTGGCACTGGGCAGTGGAGTGAAGGAGTCGGCCTGATGGTTGACAGCCTTGCCCTTGGTCCCCTGAGTGTTGAGCCCTTTGATCCGAGAGTGCTGGGCTCTCTGCTCTGGGAGGCCCTGCCCATGGGGGGCGGGGGGCACTTGTGCCTGCAGGCCCTGCAATCCAGGCTCTCAGTCAAGGACTGAAATGTGGCTGCTTCAGGTCACGGAGCATGCACTGAGACCGAGGTGTGGCTCGACAGTGAACATGCGAAACGAGAGAGATCAGTGATTCCGGGGGGGGGGGGTGTTACTTCTGAATTCACCTGTTTTGTCTTGTTGGGAAGCCAGCCGTGTCACACCCACACGTCTCCTTTATGTCCCTCCCAACCACAGGATGGCAGTCGTAGCTACAAGCATGAATGACCTGTGGCTGGAAATGACAAATCATTTTCTCTGGGTTTCTTTAAAAAAGAATTTTTTTTTAATTATATGTGTGTGTTTGTTTTATTCAAAAGGTGGACAGATGGGAGAGACCACATGGAGCCCTTCCATTTGCTAGTTTGCTTCCTGAGTATCTACAACAGCCAGGAGATAGGACAGGGCAAGTTTAGGGGCCTGAAACTCCATCCAGGTGTCTCATGTAGGCGACAGGGACCCAAGCATTGGTGTCATTACCTGCTACCTTCTAAGATGCGCCCTCGCAGGGAGCTGGCTTGAAGGTGAGGGAGCTGGGGCTTGGACCAGACACTCACTCTGGTATCGGACTTGGGCCTCATAAACAGAGAGTCTTAACCAGTACACCAAGCACACCAGACTCTGACCTTGGCAGTCCCTCTCATTAGCCAGGGCTGCGGTTCATGTCCAAATCTTAATGATTCTTTTTATATATCAATGTTTATTTTAATTATTTGTAAGGCAGAGCTAGAAAGAGAATCTTCTATCCACTGGTTACTCCCTAAATGGCCCTAAGGAACCCCACTACAACAGGGCTGGCCTAACTGAAGCCGGGAGTCAAGAGTCAGGAGTTTCTTCTGGGTCTCCCATGTGGGTGCAGGGGCTCAAGCACTTGAGCCATCCTCTGCTGCTTTCCTGGGGGCATTAGCAGGGAGCTGGATGGGAAGGGGAGCAGCTAGAATTTGAACCAGTGCCCATATGGGATGCCGGCACTTGGGCCCCCAAAGTCAGAACTAATCATTGGATGGAGACAGGCTAGACTCACCAACAAGGGGTGAAGAAGGGGCGCGTGGGTTTCTGGTGTCTCATGAGGCCATGGACTGTGGAGGAAGCAATGGGAGGGTCAGGCAGGGTGCCCAGCTGAGTAGGTGGCCCAGAGGTCCACTGGAGAGCCTGCTCAGCCACATCTCCATCCAGTGTGGCTGCAAGCATTTCCTTCTGGTCCCCAGCCCCAAAAGATAACTCTCGTCCCTCCTACTTCTTGAAGGGCAAATAGGAACCAGGTTGGTGGGTCCACGGAGGCAGAGGCCTGGTTGTAGGAGCAGGGTCAAGAGCACAGGCTGTACCTGTTAAGCAGGTGGTTGGAAGGCTGGATAACCAGTGGTGGCAGGTGCAGGCGAGGCATGCATTGTGGGAGAAACAGGTTGGGCTGTGCTGCCAATTGGTTGTGAGTTTGAATGAGAAACATCCTTCAGGAGGCCTCTGGATTAAAGGTTTATATAAATGGAACGAAGAAGACAGAAACCTCATTGGCTCTTGGCGTGGGAGGCAGGGCTTCTGGGAGGTGATGAGATCTAATGGACAGGGTCATCAGGACACAGCGCCCATGAGTAAGACCACAGAGACTGGGCAGACACACACCTGTTCCCTCTCACCCCAGCACTCTGCCAGCAGGAATGCCACTTCCAGGGGCCCCACCGACCACAGGCCAAGGTCAGCCTCCCTCCCTCCTGGGTAAACTTACTTCAAGTATTTTAGTAAGTGAGCGGAAGTTGATAACAGGCTGTTAGGTCCATGTGTGTGGAGTGGGGTGCCATGGGATCCCCTTCTGCCCTCAGCTGTCTCTGAGTTGGGGGTACACCAGCCCGTGGCCCACTGCCGTCCTTCCCCCACCCCTAGGATTACAGCCTGGCCCCTGGCAACAGCTCTGAGGACAGTGTCCACCTAGCAGAGAGGTCAGGGCAAGCACAGTCTGAGCCTCTTCTGGTTGGACGGCTGCCTCCTTCCCTCCCCACCCCACTCCCAGCCTCTGCCCCCGGCACCGCTGACCTCCACAAACCCAGTCCCCACGCGAGAAGATTGTGGCCAGGTTAGCAGCTGGCCTCACTGTCCCCAACAAGGAAGCACAGCCCAAAGCTCCGTCTCTGTCCTTTGCGAGTTAGACCAGGAGGAAGAGCTCCCAGCCAGGCCAGCCCAAGGCATCTGAAACCGGCCAAGGGCTGTTTGCTTAACAAGATGACCCCAGCTGGTACCACCCAGGGAGGGGGCAGGCTCACGCTGCTGCCCATGCCAGTCCCCTGGGGGAGCAGGGAAAGATGCCACCAGAGGAGGCAGGGACACAGCTACCAGCCCTGCTCCTTTTGCCCCCACTCGCTCCCACTCGCTTCTTCCGCTGGGTGCTGTCATGTTGTTGAAAGCTTGGAACTCGGTCTGGGTGCTTATCTTCCTTGTTTACACAGTTACAGGTGGAAATTTCTAGAGATCAGGCCCAGTGCTGGGTGAGGGAAGCAGGCCTGGGAGCAGCTTTTGGGAGAGGGGCTGGGACCCGTAGCCCTGAACCTCAGACACATTCAGCAGCTGCTAGGGGGCGTGAAGGAGAGTTGGGGACAGGATGAGGCATGAGAGAATGTGTTGGGTGATATCTTGAGACGAGGTTTATGATACCTTTGTTATACAAGAGATCTGTGCAGGTCTCAGTGCAAATTATAACCAGGCTGTCAGACCTGTTTTAACAGTCTTGACCCCCACCCCCCCAGAGTCTCCTATTTTTTTCTTAAGATTGATTTATTTTTATTGGAAGGGCAGATTTACAGAGAGGAGAGACAGAGCTTTCACCCACTGGTTCACTCCCCAAGTGGCTGCAACAGCTGGAGCTAAGGTGATCTAAAGCCAGGAGCCAGGAGCTTCTTTCAGGTCTCCCACGCAGGTGCAGGGTCCCAAGGCTTTGGGCTGTCCTCGACTGCTTTCCCAGGCATCCACCTGGGACCCCAGTGCTTGCAAATAGAGGAGTAGCCAATTGCCCCAGCATGCTGGGCCCAACCACCTCTTTTTATTTTATATTTTCTTTTTTCTATTTCTTCTAAAATATTTATTTATTTACTTGAGAAGCAATTAAGGGAGGAGAGGAGCTTCCATATGCTGATTCATGTCCCAGATGGATGTAACAGGCAGAGCTGGGCCTACAGGAAGTCAGGAGCCCAAAACAGCCTTTTGTATGATGCTGGCTGGCCCCATCTGGGAGGGCTGCTCCTTCCCTACTGATTCATAGTTCCCACTTGCCTCTGCAGAATGAGCGAGAACAGATCATGACCACCAACGTCTGGCTGAAACAGGTGAGCGCCGCACTCGCTCCCACCCCCTGCGAGGGTCCCTGGCCCCAAAGCCCCCCGCCCCCGCCAGTGACAGGTCCCCGCTGCGAGGGTCCCTGGCCCCAAGCCCCCCGCCCCCGCCAGTGACAGGTCCCCGCTGCGAGGGTCCCTGGCCCCAAGCTTCCCCCGTGACGGGGAAGGGCCTTCTCTGTGCTCCAGGAATGGACTGACTACCGCCTGGCCTGGGACAGCTCCCGCTACGAGGGCGTCAACATCCTGAGGATACCGGCCAAGCGCGTTTGGCTGCCGGACATCGTGCTTTACAACAAGTGAGTGGCGGGGTGAGGGCGGAGCGCTGCGATGTGGGGAATGGAGTGAGCGGAAGCCACCGTCCTTGGTTGGGGATGGGGGGCAGGGATCAGAAGCCCAAACCGGGAGGGGAAGGGGCCTGGTCCAAGTCCCCCGGACTCAGCCGAACTGCGCCCTGTCCTGTCCTTTCCACTGAAGCTTCAGTTGTTTGGTGGGGGCTGCCTGGGGACCACTGACCTGCAGGTGCACAGGGACCCTAAGGAGGTGAAAAGAGATTTTGAGCTTGTCAGCTCTTCCTCTAAGGCTTTGCCTCTGGAAGTGGTCACTTAACTACATGGAAGTCTTTATTTTCCTCCCTGCAAAGTGGGCACAATGAACCCTTTAGAGCAGACCTCCTTTTGGGGTGCAGAGTTCCCCACCTGCACCTGCCCCACCCTCTGCCCTGTGTCTCCCACCCCGTCACCCCCCAGCGCCGACGGGACCTACGAGGTGTCGGTCTACACCAACGTGGTGGTGCGCTCCAATGGTAGCATCCAGTGGCTGCCGCCGGCCATCTACAAGAGCGCCTGCAAGATCGAGGTACGGCACTTCCCCTTCGACCAGCAGAACTGCACGCTCAAGTTCCGCTCCTGGACCTACGACCACACGGAGATCGACATTCTGCTCATGTCACCCTGGGCCAGGGTGGACGACTTCACGCCGAGCGGCGAGTGGGACATCGTGGCCCTCCCAGGGCGCCGGACGGTGGACCCGCACGACCCCACCTACGTGGACGTGTCCTATGACTTCATCATCCGCCGCAAGCCGCTCTTCTACACCATCAACCTCATCGTGCCGTGCGTGCTCATCACCTCGCTGGCCATCCTGGTCTTCTACCTGCCGTCCGACTGCGGCGAGAAGATGACGCTGTGCATCTCGGTGCTGCTGGCCCTCACCGTCTTCCTGCTGCTCATCTCCAAGATCGTGCCGCCCACCTCGCTGGACGTGCCCCTCATCGGCAAGTACCTCATGTTCACCATGGTGCTGGTCACCTTCTCCATCGTCACCAGCGTGTGCGTGCTCAACGTGCACCACCGCTCGCCCAGCACGCACACCATGGCGCCCTGGGTCCAGCGCTGCTTCCTGCACAAGCTGCCCGCCTTCCTCTTCATGACCCGGCCCGCCGGCCCCGACAGCGCCGGTGACCACCACGGTGGCCCCACGCGGGCCCCCTCAGCCCGCGGCCGCCGTGCGCCCCAGGCCGCCTCCGCCGGCGGCCCCTCCAACCTCTTCGGGAACCCCATGTACTTCGTCAACCCCGCGCCCAAGTCTCCTCCAGGCTCCGACTCCGCCGCGGGGCTCTCCCGGGAGTGCAGGCCCCGTGCGTCCGGGAGGCTCCGGCAGGACGTGCAGGACGCCCTGGAGGGCGTCAGCTTCATAGCGCACCACATGAGGAGCGACGACCAGGCCCAGAGTGTAAGTGGCAGGCCCCGCCCCGGACACGCCCCTTCACCGCACGGCCCCGCCCCCAGGCTGGACCACGCCCCATTCCCCTACCACAGGCCCCTAGCCTCATGCAGGCCGCGCCCCAGCCCTGTCAGGCCCCGCCTCCTCCCCACCCCCGGGAATGACCTGGCCCCGCCCTCCTCGCTAACCCACACCCTATTCCCCCCCACCACACTCAGACCCCACACGGCCACACCCATGCCACGCCCCGTCGCAAAGCTGGCCCCGCCCTCCTGACTAGACCACACTCCATCCCCTACCACACTCAGGCCCCGCCCAGACCACTCTCAGGCCCCGCCCCCTTCCAGCCCGGCCACGCCTGACCAGACCCCACCTTAGCCCCGCCCCTGTCTGGCCCCGCCCAGGAGATGGAGCTGCTGCAGCTCCCTGCACTGGAATGCAAGAGGGAAATGGGAGCGGTGGCAGCTGCGGGCGTGGTGGGCGCACCAGCAGCCTTACTGTGCACCACTCGGGTCTCCCCGAAAGCAGACCCTGAGATGGGAAGCTGGGTGTTGGTGGGTTATTAGGGGAAAGGGCTTCCTATCTAGCCTAGGAAGGAAGGGGGGAAAGCGAGGCAGGGGATGGCGCACTGGCGACGGGCTGCAGTGTGGCTGTCCAGGCGTCACCTGCGCTGCCACCCAAGCCTCACGACCAGCCATCACCAGCTCCCGTGCCCGGGCCTTGAGCACAGGCACCCTCAGGGCTGGAGAAAGCCTTCGGACGCAATGGTCAGGCAGGCACCCGCTGGGACGCTGGAGGGCACGGGGGAGCACAGTGGGACGGAGGGGCAGAGCTGGGGCACCAGGACATCTGCTCCTGACCGGGGCCCCAGCGGTCTAGAAACGCCCCTTGACACTGTTACGGCCCCAGGGTAATCCGGATTGCTGGCGACTTGTACAGGTGACAGAGCAGTTGCTGCAGACACGGGGCAGTGTGAGCTCCCTGCTCGGTTCAACACTTTAACCAGATCAGACAGTGTGAACATGTTTTAGCGACCCAGCAGAGCATGGCAGGGCTGTGGGCATGTGTGCAGGGGGGTTTCTGTCCACAGCTTCCCCTGCTGGGAAGCACACACAGAGAGCAGACCTGCGAACTCCCAGTGTGCCGTGTGCAGAGGAGAGAAATGAAGTGTAGACACTTGGGCTGTCAGGCGAGAGACTGCCTGGTACAGTTCAGAAGCAGGAGTTGCTGTTGTTTGCATCATACATGGAGTAGGATGAAAATACCTGTTGAGCTTCACAATTGGATTTTGCACCAAAATAAACTCACAGCCCCCAGCCCCCTTTCATCAACTTGTTTTTTTCTAAAAAAAAAAATCATTTACAGGGAGAGAGAACGAGAGAGGCAGACCTTCCATCTGCTGGGTCACTCCCCAGGTGGCTACAGCAAGTCTCCCATGTGGGATGGCAGGGACTCTAACACTTGGGGCCAGGCACAGTAGCAGGGAGCTGGATCCGAAATGGAGCATCCAGGACAGGAACCAGTATTCATACAGGTTGCTGGCATTACAGGCTACGCCATAGTGCCAGGCCCTCCAGAACCTGTCGAGGCTCTGTCTGTCATAAAAGCATCATTTGCAGAGTCTGGGCGTGGGCTGGCAGCTCCTGGGAACATGTTTAGGAGTGCAGAGTCCCCACCACCTCCCCCTGCTGAGTCAGCATTTTACCCCCAACTCCCACCCCACTCCCACCCCACTCCCACCCCCCAAGAGAGCCTTAAGCATCTTAAGTTGGAAAGTGCGGCTCCACAGGACCACCAGAAGAAACTTCTAGAAGATGGATGTGACCGTGCCAGCCTGCAGTTTAGTCCTCAGAAGCTCTGCCTCCCCTGGTGCAGTCATTGGCTCCCAAACATTAATAGGCGACCCGCCCTTACCCCATGACTGCAAGAGAACCACTTGGGCAACTTCAGAGTTCCAGCTTTGGGGCAGGAGCCAGGGTCTCTGGGGGGGATGTCCAGGAGCCTGCCTTATCAGGCGAGAGACCCTGAGGCTGGTGAGCCCGCAGCAGAGGTAGAAGTGCTGCTGGTCTGCCCACCCCACATGGCCAGCTGGCAGGCATGCTGAGCTCACGCTTCTGGCGGCCTCCCCAACCCGTGGGCACCCAGAGCTGCATTCACGGCCAGCCTCGTTGGGCTCCAGGCCAGGCGGGACCGGCTGCTTTTGTCAGTACTTGCATCCATGAAGCCCCAGCCCCTCACACAGGCACGCTCCCGCTAACCCTCCCCAAGCCTGCAAAGAGGCCCCAGTGCACTTGGAGGGAGGCAAGGCTCAGAGAGGTTCTCTGACTTGCCGAGGACACACAGCTGGCCCAAGGCAGAGCCAGGCTCTGAGGTAACCCCCTCCGCCTACCCCGCCCACTTGCCCTGAGCACGTGCTGGACTTTCTTTGTGCCAGGGCCAGTCTGTGCCCAGCCTGCTTTCCCCAGCACTTGCGCCTTCCCCAGTGATTACCAGGTTGCTATTAATAACCTCAACATCCAAAAAGAGGTGGGGGGAGCATACACACACCCCCCCAAAAGGAAAACAAAAGCCATTTGTAATTAGGGCTGGCACAAAGCAACTCAGAATAACTGGGAAGTGTCCCCACCAAGCCCTGAAGGGAGGCAGGCAGCAGCGGTGTGCGGCTGGAGCCATGGGGGCTGTTGGCCTGGTACCCGATTATCCTGGAGGCCCCTCTAACAGGGCCCTGGTAAATCAGGTCACTGACGTCAGCTTGCCAGCTGCTGCCCATACTTCTGCATCCTGGGGACCACACCAGGTCAGGGCTATGCAGGCTGCGAGGGGCAAGGAGGTGGGCAGGTGTAACACCTCTGGAAGCCACAGCCACGGGCAAGTCTCAGAAGACTAGGGAGAGGAATGGCTCAGCTGAGACAGCAGGAAAGTCTTAGCGGAAACTGAATGCAAGGGAACGAAGGGATGGATGTTCTTCAAGCTCCCCTGCCTCTGGACCGCTGCCCTGGGCTGGGTGCACCCCAAGTCTCTCCAGGTAGAGAGGGTTTGGGGTGAACGCAAAGAAGCAGCAGCCTCATGACCTTCAGGCCTCAATCCCTTTATTTGTCACCAGGTGGCACAGGCAGGGGACCCCCAAAAAGTGCATGAGGAAAAATGATGTCAGAAGACAAGTTTGTTCTGAGGTTTTTCTTTTTTAAAATAATCTGTGCAGCCTTCCCATCATGGCATGCACCTGCTGTTTCCATAGACTTCTCAGGGCTCCCGAATGTGGCCTGAACGGCACCTCACATCCCTGCCATCTTTCAGCCCAAGCTCCCCGGAATGGCATGGGGGGAGAGGGGTGCCAGGAGGTGTGGGGGAGTGTGTGCGTGGCATGGGCAGAGGCAGAACTGTGCACCCATAACCAGCTTGCTGTCTGCCTGCAGGTGGTTGAAGACTGGAAGTATGTGGCCATGGTGGTCGACCGGCTGTTCCTGTGGGTCTTCGTGTTTGTGTGTGTCCTGGGCACCGTGGGGCTCTTCCTGCCCCCCCTCTTCCAGACCCACTAGCCTTCCGAGTGGGCCTAGGCTGCTGACATGCCCATGGTCCCCTGGGGGAGAGAGGTGAGAGCTGAGCGTGGACACGGAGGCCGTCTCCAGCTAGGTCAGGGCTGGTGAGGCCCTCAGTGGACAAGTGACATCGGCCACGGTCCCACCATCACTGCAGCCATGCCGGCAGCGACACTGTCTCTTCGGAGTGCCTTGGAGAGAGCCCCTGCAGGTGGACATGGCCATGGAGAACTTCCCGCAGACCGGGCTTCCTGCAGCAGCGGTGGGGAGGACACATCTGGCCGCAGCACCTCCGTCGTGTGCACATCCGCCCATGCCCCGGCCCACCTCTGCATCCCTGGCATCCCCCCCGCTCCGGGGATCCTCCTGGTCTCAGAGCCCTTACCTGTGGCCGTGCTCCCCTGCCGCCTCCTCTGAGCGGCCCTCCTTGGTCACCCACGGAGAATGAACTCCGTGAAAGCAGAATCCACAGGGCCTGGGCTCAATAAATTGTTGAATGAATGCATGAGTCCTACTCTTCCTTTTATTTTTGTTATTATTATTTTAAAGGCAGGTTTACAGAGAGAAGGAGAAACAGAAAGATCTTCCATCTACTGGTTCATTCCCAAATGGCCACAATGGTCAGAGCTGTGCTGATCTGAAGCCACTAGCCAGAGCTTCTTCTGGGTCTCCCACGTGGGTGCAGGGTCCCAAGGCTTTGGGCCGTCCTCGACTGCTTTCCCAGGCCACAGGCAGGGAGCTGGATGGGAAGTGGAGCAGCCGGGACATGCACCGGTTCCCATATGGGATGTTGGTGCCTCAGGGGGAAGGTTAGCTTGTACGAATGGTCAAACCATGTACCGCTGTAGCCAGCAAGGACTTGGGCTGCTCTCTGTCCATGCCCACACGTGTTATTAGCAGCGTTAAATTTCAGCTGTCCTGGTGAACATGGACAGGAACAGCCTCCTGGGGTTTTAATTTGTGTTCCTTACAAGGGCTGGTGATATTGAACATTTTTTTCATGTGCCTTTTTGTTTGCTGTCTAGCCTCAATTGAAATGTCTGCTAAATTCTTGCTCATTCAAAAAAACAAAAAAATGGGTTGTTACTATTCTTACTGCTTTATTTATTTATTTTAATGAGCTGCCTTGAAGTATAATTCACATTCCACTAACATCACCGGTTTTAAGTGCAACTAAGTTTATCAGCACAATCAAGTTACAGGTTTCAGAACATCTGCCTCACCCCAAACGCTCTCTCACACCCATCTATACCAACGGTTGGGCTGTGTGGGTTCCATGTGTCCCAGCCGTGTGCCCCCGGTTGGATAAGTGACACAAATATTCGGCACCTGAAAGATTTTCTGCCAGAGGCATGAGGTTGCTCCAGATGGGAGCTGGGGAGGTAGAGCCCCACTCTCATACGGCTTCTGAAAAGCATGATGCCAACGTGTGCCACACCGCCACCCTGCTGCCCCGCATCAGCGTGCGGGTTCCAGTCCTGGCTGCTCCACTTCCCATCCAGCTCTCTGCTAACACACCTGGGAAAGCAGTGGAGGATGGTACAGGGCTCGGGCCCCTGCTGCCTATGTGGGAGACCTGGAGGAAGCTCCTGCCCCTGGCTTTTGTTTGCCTCAATCCTGGTTATGGTGTGACTATTTGGGGAGTGAATCAATAGATGAAGATTCTCTCCCCCCCCAAATAAATAAGTAAATTATATTTCCAAAAAGTCTCCTTGGGTTTCATAGCGGGAGCAGCAGATGTGGAAATCAGAACAGCGCCTCCTCTGAGCTGAATGCCACAACTCCTTCGGCCGGTGCCTAAAGGGGCAGGAAGGGGATGGTAAGGCAGCCTTGGCGGGGAAGGCGGGAGGAGAGGGGGCCTCCCACAATTCGGCTGGCAGCTCAGCGAAGCCACAGAGACCCCAGGGTGCCAGAGGCTGCGGGAGGGCGGCTGCATCTCCAAGGCCTGGATTTTCTCATTTGGTTTTATTAAGGAACATTTCAAGCACCTGCTACAAAGTGGCGAGAAACTTGCAGCTGGCATCACTTTACAGCGGATCCTGTTTACGATTACTCCGCCCACCCTCCCCTAAACCTCCGGGATTTTAAAGGCGAGGCAGCCACCAGCCCCCAAGCCCTGAGCAGCTAATGGTTCAGCTGCTCCCTGGGGTGTCCGGGCCGGGTAGGGACAGAGACGCCGCCGCCCGGCTTCTTCTCGGTTGCGGGTTGCGCACCTGCCAAGGTCTGGGGACGGTGGTTGTGGCGGCCGCGGGGTCCCGCGTCCTCCGGGCTCGCTCCGCCTGCAGCCGCCGGGCGGGAGGAGCCTCGCGCGTCCCCGCGCCCGCGCGCCCCGAGCCCGAGTTCTGCGCCGGGAGCGTCGTGGGGAGAGACCGGAGCCCCCGGAGAGCCATGGGTGCTTCGCAGCCGTCGCTGTCGCCGTCGCTGCTGCTTCTGTTCCTGCTGCTCCTGCTCCCAGGTGCGCGCGCGGGCTGCGGGGTCGGCGGGGACGCCGGGCGCCGAGCGGCTGCCCCCGCGCGCTGCTGGCGACGCCTTTGTCCCTCGGACACCTCCCCGGGCCGCACGCGGGGCTGGGTGGCCGCGCGGTCTCCCCTGCGCGCTTGGGACAGCAGGGACCCGGAGCGCGCCCTGCCCTGCGCCCTGCCAGACTCTACGGAGAGTCTGCCTGCGTTCCGGGGGCGCATGGGGTTGGGGGCAGGCGGAGAGCCGGCCCTGGACAGGCGGAAGGCGGGGGCGGGCGACGCGAAGGGACCTGGACTGGGCAGGGCCACCAGCAGGTCCTTGCGGGCCGGGCGGTGGGTGCGCGCCCTTCGCCGCCCGGGGAGCCCCGTCTGCGCCCCTTCTGCGGTTCTGGGGTGGCGTGTGGGGCGGGGAGGTGGCAGAAGGCTTAGAATCCCGCTCCGGGCAGACCTGAAGTTGGTCACAGTCCCCAGGACCCGTGTCCCTGCCGGAGTATCCCTAACGCTGCCGGGTATTCCTTGCCAGGGCATGGGGTTGGGCGGGAAGGGGTGAGGGGAGCGAAGGCAGCCGGGTGTGGCACAGGTCTGACCTGGATGTGAGGGCAACGACCGACCGACCATAGCAACTGTCAGTCACACTGAGTGTGGGAATGGGGTGGGGTGTGTGCGTCCGTGGCCCCCCACCACCCCTGCTCTGGTCTGGGAAAAGGGGCCCCACTGGCCGCGAGTCTGAGCTCCTGTGCCCGAGTGGCCCTGTGTTGGCTAAGTGTCAGTGCATTTGGTGTTGTTGAGTTCCTTTCGCTCCTTTAAATCTTTCCTTGAATGCACTCCTGTGTAACACACCCAGCTTTGCCCACAGCTAATAGTTCTTGAGGGCTTAGCCACATGCCACACCCACTTAAAAAATCGATCTGGTTTTGAAAGAGTTAGAGGGCAGGAGAGTCGAGGATCTTCCATACACTGGCCCGTTCCCCACATGGCCACGATGGCTGCGGCTGGGCCGGTTCAAGGCCAAGGGCTCCTTCTGCATCTCTGATGTGGGTGCAGGGGCCCAAGGCTTCAACCATCTTCCAGTGCTTCCCCAGGCGCATTAGCAGGGAGCTGGGTCTGAACCCCAGCTGGTGACGGGTGATGATCCTGGGGTAGGGACAGGGACTGACTGGCCTCTCGCCTCAGTGGTCAGCGCCTCAGAGGCTGAGCACCGCCTGTTCGAGCGACTGTTTGAAGACTACAACGAGATCATCCGCCCCGTGGCCAACGTGTCCGATCCGGTCATCATCCACTTCGAGGTGTCCATGTCACAGCTCGTCAAAGTGGTGAGCGCCTGAAGCCAGAGTCCGGGGCGGTGGGGGGTGCGGGCCATGGGGTGCGGGCCTTCCCTGGGATCCCTCCCTGAAAGCCAGCCCCCTCTTCCTCACTCCCCTCTTCCTCACTCCCCTCTTCCTCACTCCCCTCTTCCTCACTCCCCTCTTCCTCCAGGACGAAGTCAACCAGATCATGGAGACCAACCTGTGGCTCAAGCAAGTAAGTGCTGCCCCCTGGCGGTGCCTGCTGGGGTTGTCGCCAGTGAACCTAGAAGGCAGGTGCAGGTTTGGGGGAATTCACTGATGGTCTCTTGCAGGGCTTGGGGTCCTGTGGGGCTTTCTTGGGGTGTGCGGACCAATCGCCGAGGTGGCCAGCAGTGTAGGGCGCTCTCCCTATTCTCTGCTGCATCTGCCGGGAGGTGGGTGGGGCCCAGAGGCAGCTCAGTGAGCCCCTCACCGGTATCTGGAGGAGGGGGTTGGTTTTCCAAGAGGCAGTATTCAAATGTGCTGTGGCCTCCCCCTCACCCGTCCCCCAGATCTGGAACGACTACAAGCTGAAGTGGAACCCGTCTGACTACAACGGGGCTGAGTTCATGCGGGTGCCTGCGCAGAAGATCTGGAAGCCAGACATTGTACTGTACAACAAGTGAGGCGCTGGCTGGGGGTGGGGCTTAGGGGCCTCCACCTGTGGCCTCAACACAGACACCTGCTGTTTGAACCAGTGACTTCTCGTGGCACTATGGGTGGGTGGCATCAGAGACCCAGGGAAACCGAGGCAGGGAAGTGGGTGTAGGGCAGGGGCCAGGAGCAGGAGTGCCTGGGCAGGCACTGGCCTGTGTCGTGGGCAGCTGGGTCCTGCTGCTGAACTGGGGCACCTAAGGCTGGGCTGGGCTGGGCTGGGCTGGGCCAGGCCAGGTTGTGCCCAGGGGCCTGGCTGGGTAGCTCCGCATGCCTCTGGTCTTGCCATCCCCAGCAGCTGTGGGAGGAGGCTGGCTCTCTCCAGGATGGGACTGTTGGCCACCCAGGAGGTGACCATGGACAGAGTGGGCTGCTCTCCCTGTGCCCTGGGGTGCGGCCCACCCCGTTGGTGTCTGAGAAGGGCTGTTAGATTGGAGATAGCGTGGAGCCTCCTGGGCTCACTTGCATTCAAAGCTTCTTTTTTTTAAAAAAAAAAAAATATTTATTTATTTATTGGAAAGGCGGTTATACAGAGAGGAAGATCTTCCGTCCGATGGGTCACTCCCCAAGCGGCCGCAATGGCTGGATCTGAACCAATCCGGAGCCAGGAGCTCTTCTTCCAGGTCTCCCACGGGAGTGCAGGGTCCCAAGGTTTTGGGCCGTCCTTGACTGCCTTCCCAGACCACAAGCAGGGAGCTGGATGGGAAGCAGGGCAGCTGGGATTAGAACTGGCGCCCATATGGGATCCTGGCGCATGCAAGGCAAAGACTTTAACCACTACGCTATCGCGCCGGGTCCACATTCAAAGCTTCTTGATGTGCCAGCCTTGGCACCTCCAAACCCCATCTTTCAGGGACAACTCTCCCAAACCCGGAACAATCACTTTCCACCCTGCGTCCCCTAACCCAGTGACAGGTTTCCACTGGTACCTTGTGGTCCTGGCTAGTTCGCACTCCAGGTATTAAAAAATATCCTCTCTACCCTCTGAGTTTTCTTTTATTACTATTTTAAAGATTATTTTTATCTGAGAGGCAAATTTATAGAGAAAAGGAGAAAGAATGTGTCCCTCCACTCCCCAAATGGCTGCAATGGCCAGAGCTGAAGCTGATCCAAAGCCAGGAGCCAGAAACTCTTCCAGGTCTCCCACGCAGGTGCAGGGTCCCCAGGCTTTGGGCCATCCTCGACTGCTTTCCCAGGCCACAGGCAGGGAACTGGAAGGGAAGTGGAGCAGTGGGGACATGAACCTGTGTCCAAATGGGATGCCAATGATGCAGATGGCAGCTTTATGTGCTACGCTACAATGCTGGCCCCCTAAGATTTATCTATTATTTATTTGAAAGGCAGAATTGCAGAGGGAGAGAGAGCTTCCATCCACTGGTTCACTCCCCAAGTAGCAGCGATGGCCAGGGCTGGGCCAGGCTGAAGTCGGGAGCCAGGAGCTCTGCCTGACTCACTCACACAGTGCAAGGGCCCCCGCAGTTGGCCCATCTTCCGTTGCCTTCCCAGGTACATTAGCCATTGGTCGGAGACTATAGAACCGGCTTGCAGGTGGGATGCCAGCGTTACAGGTGGCAGCTTAACATGCTGTACCACAGTGCCACCTCCTCCCCGGGAGGGCGGGAGGACAGGGGCAGAAGTTTAACCATGAGGCTGTTTTCCAGGGAAAACATTTCCCTTGGAATTAGTTTAATTTGCCCTGCTGCAGTTGCTGGGTTTCCGGAGTGTCTTAGGGTGGACAGTCGTTTTACCATGAGCCCCCCCACTGCCAGCTTTACATTGCTTTGGCCACTGGTGGAGTTCGGTGAGTCTCGCTTTGGTCCCTGCTAAAAGCCAACTGGGGTCTCGAGTCTCACTCCGAAGACAACCTGTGTTCACTTGAGCCCCCGGAGGATTTGGAACAAGCCAATGTGGTACCCTTGCCACTTGTATTTGTAAATCGGTCCCTGAAGAACTGGACATAGGCCTTGGCATCATGGCACAGTGAGTCAAGCCACTGTGTTCAGCCGCTGGCATCCCATATGGATGCTGGTTCGTGTCCCGGCTGTTCTACTTCTGATCCAGCTCCCCGCTCTTGCACCTAGGAAAGCAGCAGAGGATGGCCCAAGTGCTTGGGCCCCTGTCACCCACGTGGGAGACCCAGATGGAGTTCGAGGCTTCTGACTGGAACAGCCTTGGGTGCTGCAGCCATTTGGGGAGCAAAGGAGCAGATGGAAGATCTGTCAGTCTCCTTTTTTTCTGTAATTCTGCCTTTCCAGTCAATTAAAAACAAAAAAACAGGAACAAGATAATGCGTCTGGGTTTGCTGACTCTCTTCTGTAAGCTGTCAGACATGTCAAGGTCTGGGGGCCCTCAGGGAGCTGGGACTCGAACTGATGCCCTCCTGGGGGATGCCTGTGTTGCAAGCAGCATCTCGGCCAGCTGTGCCTGACGCTGGCCCCCTGTGCTGCTCTGCGGCCGCTTCCTTGCGTGAGCGGCAGCAGTACCTGGGACATGGGATTTTGGCAGTGGCGAGAGTGGCAGCTAGTGCCATAGCTCGCAGGTGGACGGGAGCAAGTGTCTTGGGGAGCTTCCTTGGAATGTGCAGCTGGAAACAGCCCGTGGAGAGATGCACTGAGCTGTGTTCTGAACCAGGACTTAGGTGTCTCAGATCGGCCCTGTCTGGCGGAGCGTTCCTCATGTTGGCACACCCCAGAGAAACACCTTTGTCGTTCTGACACCATATTTCACTCTATTTCTCTGAAGAGTTACTTATTTTGAAAGGTAGATTTACAGGAGGAGAAAAAAAGAGCCTCTTCCTGGTCTCCCACATGGCGCAGGGTCCCAAGGCTTTGGGCCGTCCTCCACTGCTTTCCCAGCCATGAATAGGAAGCTTGGATGGGAAGTGGAGCAGCCAGAACTTGAACCAGTGCCCCATGGGATGCAGGCGGAGGATAAAGCGCCTATACTTCTCACTCTGTGACGTTGACACGTGGAATCCTGTGTGCAGACGCAAGGTGCCCTGGGTTCCTGCAGCTCCGTGGCTCGCAATGGCCTCTGAGCAGACATGGCTGGCTCCGGCAGCTGGGCAGAGAACCCTAGCTTCCCGTGGGGAAGGCTTCAGAATGCCGCCGCTCAGCAGCTTCCACAGCCAGGGCGCTGCTGTCCTGCCCTTGCTGTTGTCTTCTCTGGGCCAAGCGGGGTGCCTTAAGGGGGTTCAGGGGTGCCGTGCCTGGGAAAGCCACAATGACACAGGCTAAGCTGGGAGTAGAGGGGAGGGTGTGTGTGGTCACTCTTTTTTTTTTTTTAAAAGATTTATTTTTATTATTTTTTTATTGGAAAGGCAGATATACAGAGAGGAGAGACAGAGAGGAAGATCTTCCGTCCGATGATTCACTCCCCAAGTGAGCGCAATGGCTGATGCTATGCCGATCCAAAGCCAGGAGCCTCCTCCGGGTCTCCCACATGGGTGCAGGGTCCCAAAGCTTTGGGCCGTCCTCGACTGCTTTCCCAGGCCACGGGCAGGGAGCTGGAAGGGAAGCGGGGCTGCCGGGATTAGAACCGGCACCCATATGGGATCCCGGGCGTGCAAGGCAAGGACCTTAACCACTGTGCCACCGCGCAGGGCCCGTGTGTGGTCACTCTTGACCCAAGCCCATTGCTCTTCCACACCTGCTTCTGTCCTATGCCCCTCGGTTTCCTGTCTGGTACAAGGAAGGCATGGGACTGGAGCAAGGTCAGCAGACTTTTCTCTTTACATATTTATTTACTTATTTTTATTAATACGAAGGGTAAGAGAGCTCGTCCTTCCGCTGGTCCACTTCTCCCAAGTGCCTACAACACCCAGGACTGGGCCGGGCTAAAGCCAGGAGGCTAGAACCCATGCAAGGCATCCCATGTTTGCTCGCTCAGCTGCTCCCAAGATTGCATGTTAGCAAGAAGCTGGATCAGAAATGGAGCCAAGGGGCCAGCGTTGTGGCACAGTGAGTAAAGCAGCTACCTGTAGTGCTAGCATCTCATGGACACTGGCTCAAGTCCCGGCTGCTCCACTTTCCATCCAGCTCCCTGCTTGTGACCTGGGAAAGCAGTAAGGACGGTCCACAGCCTTGGGTTCCTGCACCCATGTGGGAGACCCAGAAGAAGCTCCTGGCTCCTAGCTTCAGATCGGTTCAGCTATGGCTGTTGTTGCCATTTGGGGAGTGAACGAGCAGATAGAAAATGTGTGTGTGCGTGCGTGGTCTTTGTAACTGTGCCTTTCACATCTTTCTAAAAAATTAACAGAGAGCCCAGCACAGTAGCCTAGCAGATAAAGTCCTCACCTTGAAGGCACCGGGATCCCATATGGTGGCCAGTTCTAATCCCAGCAGTCCCACTTTCCATCCAGCTCCCTGCCTGTGGCCTGGGAAAGCAGTGGAGAACAGTCCAAAGCCTTGGGACCCTGCACCACTGTGGGAGACTTGGAAGAGGTTCTGGGCTCCCAGCTTTGGATTGGCTCAGCTCCGGCTGTTGCAGCCGCTTGGGGAGTGCATCATCAGACAGAAGATCTTTATCTCTCCTCCTCTATATTATCTGACTTTGCAATAAAAATAAATAAACCCTTAAAATTTTTTTTTTTCAACAGAGCCAGGGCTGGTATTGTGGTGCAGTCTGGTTAAGTCCCTGCCTACAGTGTGAGCACCCCTGCTGATCTGAGTTCTGGCTGCTCCACTTCCAGCACCGCTTCCTGCTAACGTGCCTGGGAAGGGAGCTGAGGAAGTACCCGGGAGGCTCTGTCTGTGCGGGGATCTTTGTAGGCTGAGCCCACCTAGGGGCTGTGTGGATCCTGTCCTCTGTCTCCCCCTCTCTCCCCTCCCTCCTCATCCCCTCCCTCTCCATCCCTCCCCCTTCATCCCCACTCTCCCACTTCCCCTCCCCTCAGCAGCTGGCTATCCTGCAGGGAATCGGGGGCTCCTGAGGAGTGACGTGTACAAGGGCTTCACTTGTGGGGTGCCAGTCCAGCGGGATCAAGGCGGGGAGGGGCGAGGAAGGCCTGCACCGAGAGTTTTTGCTCCTGCTGCCCCACGTCCCTCCCCAGCAAGAGCCACGTGACGACCCTGGAGGTCTTATAGCAGGTCGCTCAGCTCTCAGGGCATGGGGCGGGGTAGCACTGTTCCTTGTGGAAGGATGTGGGTGCCTTGGGACCTGGGCAGGACCAGTGCGAGGCCCATGGGGATTGTCTGGAGGGAGGGGAAGGGCTGGGGCATGGTCACTGCCAAGGCAGCAGGCTCTGCAGCAGCAGCTCTGGCATGGCTCAGCGGAACAGGCTCAGGAAATGGGGTGGGGGGAGCCACACTAGTGCACAGGCCACGGAACTCAACAGGGGACAGAGGAAGGACAGGTGGGATGCTGAGGGGAGAGGGACCCTGTGAGGTGGGGGTGAGAACATGCACTTATTCACAGGGTGGGGGAGTGTGGGAGCTGGTGGGCTCAGGTGCCAAAGGGCTGTTTAGAACCAAACCCTCTGCCCGTGGCTCCATGGGGTTGGGGTGGCCTGTGCGGCCCCTGCCAATCTGGTCTTGTGTGCACATGGGTTGCCCAGTGGAGCCCAAATGAGGGACATAGCAAGGCCCAGGGCTTGGGGACAGCAGGTGGCAGACACTCCCCTGCAGGATGCAAAGCACCCCTGTCTTCAAGACAACGTCCATGTCATTTAAATAAAAGAGGGGGAAAAAACAAAACCAACTGTGGTGTCTGCGAGGGAGTTGTATGTCCCTGAGGGTGGGGGATGAGTTGGGCTGCTGGGGGGACTGGGAGCCTCCGTGTCCCCAGTGTCAAACAGGGCAGTGACACGGGGGAAGGTGTGGGGGGAAGACAACTGGTCGTGGCTTAGCTCTGCCTGCCTCCTGTTTTACAAATTGTCCATCCCTGCCACCCTGAGAAGCTGGCCCTGTGACCGTGTGGTGATGACCATGTGTGACCCCTGACCTTTGCCTGTCTCCCCAGCGCCGTTGGGGACTTCCAGGTGGACGACAAGACCAAGGCCTTGCTCAAATACACGGGCGAAGTGACCTGGATCCCTCCGGCCATCTTCAAGAGTTCCTGCAGGATCGATGTCACCTACTTCCCATTCGACTACCAGAACTGCACCATGAAGTTCGGCTCGTGGTCCTACGACAAGGCCAAGATCGACCTGGTGCAAATCGGCTCCTCCATGAACCTGCGGGACTACTGGGAGAGCGGCGAGTGGGCCATCATCAAAGCCCCCGGCTACAAGCACGACATCAAGTACAACTGCTGCGAGGAGATCTACACCGACATCACCTACTCGCTCTACATCCGCCGCCTGCCCCTCTTCTACACCATCAACCTCATCATCCCCTGCCTGCTCATCTCCTTCCTCACCGTGCTCGTCTTCTACCTGCCGTCCGACTGCGGCGAGAAGGTGACGCTCTGCATCTCCGTGCTGCTCTCGCTCACCGTCTTCCTGCTGGTCATCACCGAGACCATCCCGTCCACCTCGCTCGTCATCCCGCTCATCGGCGAGTACCTGCTCTTCACCATGATCTTCGTCACCCTGTCCATCGTCATCACCGTCTTTGTGCTCAACGTGCACTACAGGACGCCCACCACGCACACCATGCCTGCCTGGGTCAAGACCGTCTTCCTGGACTTGCTACCCAGGGTCATGTTCATGACCAGGCCGGCCGGCGACGAGGGCGGCACGCCGAAACCGAGAGTCCTCGCCGGGGCCGAGCTCTCCAACCTCAACTGCTTCAGCCGCACGGAACCCAAAGCCTGCAAGGAGGGCCACCCCTGCCAGGAAGGGGGCGGCGTGTGCGGGTACTGCCGCCACCGGCGCATCAAGATCTCCAACTTCAGCGCCAACCTGACGCGCAGCTCCAGCTCTGAGTCTGTGGACGCGGTGCTGTCCCTCTCCACCCTGTCGCCAGAGATCAGGGAGGCCATTCAGAGTGTCAAGTACATCGCTGAGAACTTGAAGGCGCAGAACGAGGCCAAGGAGGTAAGGAAACACCCGGTGCTCCCGTGGGTTGGTTCGTCACAAATTCATTGCACACACCCTCACCGCTGGGGGACATAGGTCTGTGGCAGAGAAAGGGTCCCCTACTTCTTCTGCTTTTAGGGGCTTCTTGTGGGGCCAGGTCCAGTATGGGGGTTCATAAGGAATCAGTCCCTGGACCTCGTGACTTGGACTCTGACTGTGGATTAGTAAGGTATCCCGCACAGCCAGGCTGGGTTGGTTGCTTTGTTTACCTGTCTGTGAAATGGGTTGCTGCAGCAGGTGGTAGCCCCCAGAAGTGCTGTGGAGCAAGAGGGAGCCTGAAGGGAGGCTGGAGACGGCAGGATGCCCGACACCCGCTCTCAGTGTTTCTGGCGGAGCGTGGGCTTGGAGATCACCGTGCCCGTGTCTTCTTGCTGTAGCTGAACCCCAGGGAGGGCAGAGCGTGCCTCCCAAGCATGCAGATGGGTGGATCTGACCTCCTGTTCCCAGGCCCCCTGTAGACGGACAGCAATGCCAGGGCTCCAGGCAGCGGCCCACTGCCCCCTCCTCCACTTCAGACCTGACCTCTGCTGTGTTGATTAGTTTTGTCTTAAACTTTGCACACACAAAATCACATAGTACAAACTCTTTTTATTTATTTATTTATTTATTTATTTATTTGAAAGGCACATTTATGGAGAGAGGAAAGAAAGATCTTCAACTACTGGTTCACTCCCCAAATGGCTGCAGTGACCAGAGCTGAGCTGAGCTGAGCTGAGCTGAAGCCAGGAGCCAGGAGCTTCTTCCAGTTCTCCCATACGGGTGTAAAGGCCCAAGGACTTGAGCTGTCCTCTGCTGCTTTCCCAGGTGCATTAGCAAGGAGCTGGATCAGCAGTGGAGCAGCTGGACTTGAACCGGCACCCATATGGGATGCCAGCACCACAACTGGAGGTTGAGTGTACTATGCCATGGTGCTGGCCCATAAACTCTATTTGTCTGAAAGGCAATGTTAAGGAGATATCATTGATCCACTACTTTCTAAATGCCCACAATAGCCAGGACTGGACCAGGCTGAAGCCAAGAGCCTGTAACTTCACCAGGTCTCCCATGTGGGGTTCAGGGGCCCAACTGCTTGGACCATGCTCTGCTGCTTTCCCAGACACAAAGGCAGGGATACAGATGGGAAATGGAGCAGCCAGGACTTGAACCAGTGCTCATATGGCATGCCGGCACCACAGGTGGTAGCTTAAGCCACTGTGCTACAATGTCAACCCCGCACAGTGCAAACTCTAACCAGGTTCTTTCATTAGCCTAATGCCTGAGATATACTTTCTATGTGTAGCTTCCCATGATGAGAATTCTTGTGTTGATTTTTGCAATTTTGGGCCACTGGGCCTTTGATTATGTTACAGTTTGAATGGGATTTAATTCCAAAACTTATGGGGCATTGTGAACTCCTATTAACAGCTAAGAGAGTGTGACAATGTGGTTATGGGGTCCAGGTGCTGGGGCCTCCCAGGGGGTCCTGGGGTCATTGGCAGTGCATCCTGAGGAGGTGGTGTCACCAGAGTGCTGGTTGTGAAATCCGGGGCTGGACCCAGCCACTTGTGGTATTTCCTGCCCTGTCACGTGGTCACTGCCACCTTCATTAGCAGAAGTAAAGGGCTGCCTGGTCTTGAACCTGAGCCTCCAGTGCTGGCAGCCACTTAAGTCCTTGCTCAGATGTTTCAGAGGAGCCGTGAAAAGCTGGGGCTGAAGCTGCTGCCCACATTCTGATCTGGGGAACACTTGTACGTGTGTCTCCTGGATGTATACAGTAGGGATGGAACTGCCAGACCACTGGAAAGCTGTTTACGTTGAGTGGGTACTGTGAGGGTGTCCCAGGTGCCAGAACCCATCCATAGCCCCCAGCCTCGTGTGACAGTGTCATTTGCCCCATGCCCTCTATCCCATGTGTGAGGTACTGTCACACTGCCGTGTGTTTGTTTTTAGTTTTGGTTTGAAAGAGTTACACAGAGGGAGAGGTCTTCCTTCAGCTGGTTCACTCCCACGATGGCCACAATGGCTGGGGCTGTGTGAGGCTAAAGCCAGGAGCCAGGGGCATCTTCCCCACACAGGTGCAGGGTTCCAAGGACTTGGGCCATCTTCCACTGCTTTCCCAGGCCACAAGCAGGGAGCTGGATCACAGGTGGAGCAGCTGGGACTTGAACCAGTGCCTCTATGGGATGCTGGCATTGCAGCTGGCAGCCACCCAGCAGGCAACCATCTTGTTTCTTTAATGAACTTCTCCCTTAGTGTCATTACTGGGGCTCTTTTTCTATGCTGAGCGGCAGTTCAGATATATCTTTTCATGAGATGAGGTTTTATTCACATCTTTTTGTCTATTTTTAAAAGTGAGTGTACTTAGTTCTGCTTCCTTTAAATAACTGTTCGGATCAAGGTCAGGTGCCAGGAAGAGGGAAGTTTATATAGATGATGTCACAGGCCTGGCCCTGTTGACTCCAGGGCCACCAGTATCATACTCAGTCATCTTAGGAAAAACTCTGCTTTGAGATGAACTGCTTCTGTCTTGGTAGTGTGTGTATTAGATTTATTTTTTAAAATTATTTGGGCTTAGTATGATGGACTAATAGCGGGGTCCTTGCCTTTCATGTGTCAGGATCCCACATGGTTGCTGGTTTGACTCTTGGCTGCTCTACTTCCCAACCAGCTCGCTGCTTGTGGCCTGGGAAAGCAGTCAAGGGCGGCCAAAGCTGTGGGACCCTGCACCCAAGTGGGGGACATGGAGGAGGATCCTAACTTTGGATCAACTCAGTTCTGGCCATTGTAGCCACTTGGGGAGTGAACCAGGGCAGGTATGGAGGATCTTTCTGTCTTTCTGTTTCTCTAAATCTACCTTTCCAATAAAAATAATAAAAGTTATTGGTTCACTCCCCCAGATGGCACAATGGCCGGAGCTGAACCTATCTGAAGCCAGGAGCCAGGAGCTTCTTCTGGGTCTCCCACGCAGGTCTGGATCCCAAGGCTTTGAGCCATTCTCCACTCTTTTCCCAGGCCACAGGCAAGGAGCTGGATGGGAAGTGGAGCTGCTGGGATTAAAACCAGCACCCATATGGGATCCCGTCACAAACAAGGCGAAGACTTTAGCTGTTAGGCTACCGTGCTGGGCCCTCAAAGTCATTCTTCAGCAGAGAGCTGACAGGTGATTTCAGTTCCCAAGGCATGGTTGATAGAAGCTGTGCAGAGCCCCTCTCATGCTGTGAATGGCTAGTGTGAACTCAGCGCTGATTTGGGTCCAGGCAGAGGTCTGCACATTTTCCAGTCTTTGTCAGGCTGTCAGGCACCTCAGCCGGCTCTGCACCTGCCAGTTCTGCAACCGCAGATACTCGGGGAAAATTGTTTTCTTGTCATTCTCTGGTCCTTGCAGAATAATGGTCTACCCAGCATTTACGTGGCATCGGGACTGTAAGTTGGGTTAGGAAGAACATACAGGTATACTCTTCCACCGTTGCCAAGACCCAGTGCGTTTTTCGTCCTTTGGTACGTGGACCTGAATGGGACTGCGGTCTCCGGGGTCCCTGTGATGGACCCGTTGCGGCACTGCAGACACACCGTGTGGAGGAGCCAGCCCACCTGGCCCCCGGGGCCCTCCCTCTGCCAGGGAGCTTAGTTCACATGTGAGACAGAGCACTACATCAGCCATCCAGAAAGCACGCGCCTGTGTGTGCCTAGTTAGGTGTAACTATCCCACCGCTTTCTGCAGAGGGCGTACGCATCTCCAGAATCTGGTGGTGATGGGGGAGAAGGCTCCTGGTCCCAAGGGCAACTGCCACCCTGTTCTGTTATGTACTGGACACATCAAGCCCTCTAGGACATGCAGGTGGTCATGAAAAGGCAGTTGGCAAAGGGGAGGCCACAGACCTCCACAGGATGCGGGTGAGAATGTGACTGTGGGAGAGGGGGGCCTCTAGGGCCTCTGCTGGTCTACCCTCCACTCGGCCCTGTCTTCTGTTACTGTCGGGGTGAGAGAAAGAGTGTGAGCCCTCGTATTGTAGAGCACGCCAGGTTTTCCAGAGAAAGCAGAGGTGGGTCCCGCAGGCCACTGAAATGACAAGGGACAGAGTCGAGCCTTCTGAATGCTTCCTTCCTCCCAAATCATGGATGTTGCAGCCACACCATGTTCCCGAATGTTGGGATTTTCTGAATCTTCAGTCCCTCAGGTTGGCTGCTTTTCCCTGTGCTCAGCTCCTAGGGGCTGAGCCAGCAGCACAGGCTGTGTTCCTAGGGCCGGCTCCCGAGGGCAGGCCAGCATGGTGACATTCTCATTGGTCAACTCTGTGAGCTCACATTTGGCCCTATTAGCAATGAGAGTGATGACCAACGGTTCTGCAGCTCAGAGTAGGAGCAGGGCACCAGGAATCGAGGTTGGGGCTCTCCAAGGGCTGGGGGAAGTGCCTGGTGTGGGCCAAGTAGCCTTGATGGCCAGCCATACCTGGTCCATGGTCCAAGCCGCTGTGTAGGTCTGGCAGGTGCATGCGGTAACAGCTGTGTGGTTTTGGACCAGGAATTCTGAGACATTTTCTGTTAGATGCCAAGAAGGCTGAAGCCAGTTTCACAGAATGTGGCATCAAAAACCCAGGTTATTTTGGTGGGGAAAACTTGAAATTGATGCTTAGTTTTATCGATTAATTTGGTTTTAAAGGCAGAGTGTTGCATGGTCCCACACGCTGGTTCATTCCCCAGATGCCCACGCTGACCAAGACCGGGCCAGGCCACAGCCTGGAATTTCTAATTCAATCTGGGGGGTGGGGACAGCAACTAAACCACTTGAGCCATCATTTGCTGCCTTCTGGAAGGTGGCTGCTGTTGTGCCGTCACCCGGCAGGGGCTTCGGCAGCTCACGTCCCCCACAAGCATTGCTGCATGGTCATTTTGCCTCAGCGTTGCTGGAATTGCACCTGAGTGTGGTTCATCGCTGGTGCTCATTCTGTCCCAAAGCTCCGAGTTTTCTATTTGCCCAGGAGCTACGAAGACCTCAAGCTTGTGTCCACAGCAGACCATCCTGGGAGGCAGTTCATCGTGTGGTGTCCATCTGGGAGATGCCAGCTGGTGATGGCTGTATCTGCCCCATGTCTTCCGCTTCTGCCCTCCTGGTCTCTTCACTCTGTCTCCATCCTGGGCTGTCTTCCCCATCTCTGAGCTCTCTCTGACCTTTATTTCTCGCACCTGCTCGCTCACACCTGCTCTCTTTCACACTTTTCACTCTTGGTTCTTCCGGCAAACTGTGCTTGCTGCTTCATGTCTCCCATATCTGCTTGTGTGTACGTCAAGCCCACCTGTCAGCCGTCTTCCTGTGCCCTTGGATAGCCTAGCTGGTGTACTCAGAGCTGTGAACTCCTGTTCCGGGGGCGGAAAGGGGTTGAAGGAGGTGGGGGTACATTGTCTTTACTGAATGGCTGGCGGGCCCAGCTGGCCACTCCTGCTCCAGGTCCCCTTTCAAGGGCTCTGTGTTCTCTGCAGGTGACCTTGTCCCTCCAGGGACAGCTGGCTAACTACTCAGCCCTGATCTCCTCTGCCGAAGCTGAGTGCCGCTGGGTATGGGGAGCAGGGGGGATACCTCCAGCTCCACTGGCCCCTGGGCCCCTCCTGGTCTCCACTGTCAGCTGCAGCCAACTGTCTCCCACCACCCCTGTGTACCCCAAGCTCTCCTGCACCCACAGACAGTCATGTTCCCCAGGCCCCTTCCAGGAGGCAGCCAGGAGCTGGCCTGAGTTCATTTGCAACTCACCCTGGATTCCCAGATCTGGAAGATGGCCAGAGCCTCTGTGCTGGACAACTCCAGCAACAGAAGGAAAACTTACACCCTCTCGGCTGTTTTAGCAGCACTGTTTGTAAGAGAGTACTCCAAAACATTTGAGGAACATCTCCGTGTGGTGGCACTGCCACCTTCAATGCCCGAAGCCCCTGTGAGGGCTGGTTCAAGTCCTGGCTCCTCCACTTCTGGTCCAATCCCCTTTACTCATGTGGGAGACCCCGAAGGAGTTCCAAGCTCCTGGCTTTAAGCCTGGTCCAGCCCTGGACCCGTGGGCACTTGGAGAGTGAATCAGCAGATGCAAGGTCCCTCCCTGTGTCTCCTCCTCTATCATTCTGCCCCCTGAATAAATGACTCTTTAAAAAAAATGGTAAAATGAAATTTAAAAATTTATTCTAATGCAGGAAAAAAATCATGGTAAAAAATTAAAAGTTTATTTTGGTGTAGGAAAAAAATGTGTGCAGTTTTTCTAAGGGGACAATTTCATGAGCTTTAAAAATGTGACTTCTGTGCCCTCTTCAGAAAATTTGTTTACAACCTTTAAAAAATATTGGAGAGGCAGAATTGCAGAGACAGGGACACAGCGGGGCTGGGTCAGGCCCAGGCCAGGAACGGAATCTCCCTCCTGGTCTCCTCTGTGGGTGGAGGGGCCTAGGCACTTTGGGACACCTTCAGTTGCTTCTCAGCAGTGGAAGTGGAGTAGCCAGGACTCAAGCCATCACCCACAATGGGAGGCCAGCATCGCAGGTGGCCACTTAACCAGCTACACTACAATTTCAGCCTGTTCCTGACCTTTCTGGAGACCTTTGTATGCATGGATCAGGACTTTTTTTTTTTTTTGCATCTAAACCTTTTGTTTCACTTTATACATCCTTCTTGAAGTGTCCTCCTGTTTAGTGCCACCTCTTCACGAGGGTAAGCCACACAGATCCCTGCGGGTGGCCACAGGTACTCAGTAGCCCTCGGGGGTAGACACTGCCTGCATCCTCAGCTGTCACAGACCCAAGCTCCCCCAGCCGGGAGCAGCAGAGCTGGGCCTAAGGTCAGTGTGCCTCCCCCTCTCTGCCCCTTCCACCTGCGGGCATCTGCAGGTGGTAGGGAGACGAGCCTCAGTCCTAGGCAGTCTGTTCACTCTCCGTGGGCCCCGCTCGTGTTGCCAAGAGGTCACAGGGCCTCAAGTTCACAAGGGCAGAATGTGGTCATCCGGCAGCCCTGTTTCGGTGCCCCAAATGAAATTAGGAGCCCACAGGCTGCCGCTCGGTGATGTGATTACTGCTCTCCCAGCAGCAGATCGACGGGCCTTCTCCCCTCTCAATCCAATTACGGGGCCCTGGCTAACGGAACTGTCTCAGAGGGTAATGGCTACACGGTTCTCCTTCCTGGGCTGGGCCTCGATTGCAGCCACAGGACGGACCATCAGCCTGGCCCTGGCCTCCTGCCTCCGCTCACTGATCGTCGGCTGGCTCAGTTCCACCACACTCCACTTGCAAATGCATGGGAAAGATGGGCGTCTTGCAGGTTGGAGATGTCACAGCTCCTACATCTGCAATGTAGCCAATCAGTATTTGCTCTTTGGGACCATGTCTTCCTGGCCTTTCTGCTCATGGCTTTTGTTTGTCTCTTCTTTGTTTTTCAGATTCAAGATGACTGGAAGTATGTGGCCATGGTGATCGACCGTATCTTCCTGTGGGTCTTCATCCTCGTGTGTATCTTGGGGACAGCAGGATTGTTTCTGCAGCCTCTCATGGCCCGGGATGACGCCTGAGCACCTGGGCATGAGCAGGGGAGGGGCCATCTCTGAATGGTGACGTATTTCCTGTTCCCCACCTACCAGGTTTGGTTTGGGGGCAGATTCAAGATTTCCTTATCTTCCTGGTGTCTTGTGTTTTTGTCCAAAAAAAAGAAAAAAATGATGTGAGAAAAAAACGCCCAGAGCATTGCACGCGGTTACAAGAACACTGACCTGGAGCCTTTTTGGTGATGAAATGCTGACAGTCTCGCACGGCACCGGGGGGCCTGTAAGTGTGCCCTGCATCTTCAGCGGCTGAGCTGGAATGGAGAGACCACTTGCTGTTGAGAAACGCTCGCAGCCAAGGCCTTCCCAGCTCAGAACTGTGGATTTCACAGCGGTGTTTTGTAGTTAGCCTGAAATCTCCTTTGAGGTTCCCGTGGCTTCGGTCATGTGCCTCACGCCCCATGTCTGACCGTGCACGTCTTTATGTAACCGTTTTCTCAGTGTCACGGCCCTGGCCTCTGTCCCAGAGGGTCCTTGACTTTCTCCAAACAGGGGGAAACGCTGCCTGGGCACCTGTTTGCTGATAACAGGATTTTGTGTCCCCTTGGGGTTGCTCTCCCAAGACACAGTCTGCATGCTCACGGCTAACTGACCACAGTGGAGGAAGCTCGGAGGTCCCTGAGCTCATGGTGCCAGCAAGACACAGAGGCTGGCAAGGGGCTGCTGCTAGCTGTGTCCCTACATGGCCAGAGGGGCCAGCCAGCCTGCCAGCTCTCCAGGGTCTTGGATAAAGCTTGAATCCCACTCCTGACCGCTTCCCTAAGGCCCCACCCCAACACAATCCCGTGGGGATCAGGTGTCCCTGCATGAATTTGGGACTGGCGTTTTTAACCTCAGTGCCCCTGAGGGTTAGGGGAGGATTTGTTTCATGGGCACTGTGGGATCTTCCGCAGCACCCTGGATCTACCTGCCACCTGTGACAACCAAGAACCTGTCCATTATTAACCGTCCCCCCGGTAGGTGACCGTTAGCGAAACAGCACCCTGTGTTATACGCATGACTCACAGTCACTGATGGAGAAGACAAAAGCCCCCTTGCACTTTCTCGCTAGGCAGCGCTTTTCCTGTGCAAAAAATAAATATATAATTTGAAAACCCCACCGCTGACTCGTGTTTCAAAAAGCCACAGGAAGCTTTGTTCTAGGCAATCTCTTTATGTACAGACATCAAAGGCAACGGGGTGTGCACAAGCTACGACAGCTAGCGGGCAGTTCAAACGCATCAGCCAGACTTCCACTCATTAGAAGGCAATAAACAACTCGGCATGGCACATGACAGGTGAGACGCAGCGCCCCCCACCTTCCAGTGACGCTAGGTGGCTTACCTTACCTGTCCCCTCGCTAGCTAAGCGTTCTCCATCGAGGGTATAAGGTTTCCACTGGTATTTTCTCCCTGGTTTTTTTTTTTTCTTTTTTTTGCTGAATTAGGGTCTAAGAGATGAAGCTGAACTTTTAAAATTTTAAATTTATTTGAAAGGCAGAGTTAGATCTTTTCATCTGCAGGTTCACTCCCCCAAATGGCCACATCGACCAGAGCTAGGCGAGGAGTTTCTTCCCAGGTTTCCCACGTGGGTAGCAGAGGCCCAAGCACTGAAGCCATTTTCTGCTTTCCCTAGTTCATTAGCAGGGAGCTGGCCAGGAAATGAAGCAGCTGGGGGACACACCCCATTGCAAGCTGCGGCTTAGCCCACTGTGCCACAATGCTGGCCCCCAAAATTGAACAGTCATCATCTTTAATAAGATGAAATTATCTTTTATAAGATGAAATTAGATCTTAAAGGCCCTTGCAACTCTAAGATTCTATTTGTATAATGGTTGGAATGAAAGGGAAAACAAAAATCCTTGGTAGGCAACAACATGCTGACATGGAATCTAACAAGCTGGCTTTTCCCCAGGGTGACTTAAACATAGTCCTGTTTTTAGAATGGGATTCATGTCACTGCAGTGGACTCCTCTAAGACCGCTCCATTGCTGGGGATGGTTCTATTAACTGGGAAACGGGGATTCGCTGGTGAGTCAAGGAGACTGAAATGAATGCTAAGGATCTGTGGCCGGGGATGCTGCAATGGAAGGCCAGTGACAAAGGCAGTTGCCGCAAGGGCAGGAGTCTGATGCAGAACTCAAGTCAGTGGTTGAGATGCTTCCTCCCAGGCCTGGCTCCTCTGCTTCCCATCCAGCTTTCTGCTAGTGCACCTGAGAAAGCAGCCAAGGCAGGCCCAGGTGCTTGGGACCCTACACTCATGTGGGAGACCTGGATGAAGCTGTTGGTGCCCGGTTTTGCCTGGCCCAGCTTCGGCCATTGCAACCACTTGGGGAGTGAATCAGCAGGTGGAATATCCCTGTGGCTCTGCCTTTCAGATAAGTAAATAAACTTTCAAGAAAAAAGAAAAGGACAGAAAAACATCCCATTGAGTTATTTTTATAGCAAGTAGCTGCTTTCATAGAACAGTATAATAGTAAGCTAAAGATTGAGCTATTCCTCTGAATCCAGGACAAAGAATTCTAGCATTGTTACAAAATACAGGGAACATTTCTGACTGACCCTTCACATATACCTGGAGCTTTGGAGCACAGTGAGACACCTCCCTGCTGCCTGTAGCCCCTGAGCTGTGCTGAGAGAGCACTTGGCTGCTGTTCTCAGCATCAGCTCTGAGCATCTCTGCAGTCATCCTAGCAGGTGTCCTAAGGGATGGTGTTTAGGACCATTAGGACAGACCAATGCTGGCTATTGCCAGTCAGCTAAGGCTTGCATTAACTTTTAAACATGGGGACAGGCTATTGGCCTTGTGGATAAAAGGAAGCCACCCTGGACACCGCCCATCCCCTATTAGGGTACCTGGGTTCAAGTCCCAGATCCACTCCCAATTCCAGTTTATTACAAATGCACACCCCGGGAGGTAGCAGGTGCTTGTTTTAAGTGGTTGGGTTTCTGCCACCCACAGGGGAGACCCAGATGGAGCTCCTGGCTCCTGGTTTTGGCCTTGTCCAACCTTGGTTATTGTAGGCATTTGGGGCATCAGCAAGTGAATGGGAGCTCTCTGTCTTCCTCTCAAAAACAATTGTTAAAAAGTTTTAAGCACAATTTACATTTTTCATCATTTCCTAGGAGCCACAAGCACTATGCTTGCTAACAAAATTCAGACAACAACTCCTCAGCCAAGTGTCACTTATTCACATTTCCAATGTGAACTGGTATGATGATATTGGCCCATTTATAAATAACAGGAACAAAAAGGCCAAGGGAACCAACCACCGAGACTAGAAGGAACATCCACAGGAATACCCGATCCAGCACCTGGGCAATGAACTTCCAGTCTTCCACCACCTGTTACCAAAGAGAAAGAAAGCACGTGCGTTAAGTACACAAGTGGCAACTGTATATATATACATATATACATATATACATATATATACATATATACACACATATATATGTATATATTTTATAGCTCATTGAGCTGAAGGCCAAATCCCTGTCTCCCGACAATAAATGCCTGAGCTGTGTTCAGGAAGAAAGGACGTTACAAATGCAGCCTCCTGGGTGACGTAGCAGATCCAGCTCCCTGTTGGATCTGGAAAGGCAGCACAGGATGGCTTGAGTCCCTGGGCCCTGGTACCCATATGGGAGACCCGAAAAAATCTCCTGGCTTTGGATTGGCTCAGCTCTTGACCATAGCAGCCATTTGGGGAGTGAACAAGTAGATGGAAAATGTCTTTTCGTCTCTTTCTGTAACTCAGATGAAAACAAATCTTCAATATATACATATACAGCCTCCTCAAGCTTCCCTCCAGCTCCCTGCTAATGAGCCTGTGATAGCAGCAGAGAACGGCCCAAGGGTTTGGGCTCCTGTACCCACTTGGGAGACCCTGGCTCCTGACTTCAACCTGGTCCAACCCTGGCTATGGTGGCCACTTGGGGAGTGGACCCGGGGGTGAAACACCTCTTTTTCTGTGTCACCTTTCCAATTAATAAATCTTAAGGGTGTAGCGATGGTGTACAGGTGTAAGGGGTAACAGTGGTATAGCCTGCTAATCCTCTGTCTGCATCACAGGGTCATACCAAGCTTAGTAATATGCTTAACTTGCTTAAGCAGATATTTGCAGGGCCAGAGTTTGTGGCTTCGCAAGAAAGCCACTGCCTGCAATGTCAGGATCACATAAGGACACTAGTTCGAGTCCCAGCTGTTCTATTCCCATCCAGCTCCCTGCTTATGGCTTGGGAAATCAGCAGATGATGGTCCAAGGCTTTGGACCCTACATCCACGTGGGAGACCTGCAGGGAGCTGTTGGCTCCTGGCTTTGGATCAGCCTCATTCTGGTCACTGTGGCCATTTGGGAAATGAACCAAAGGATGGAAGATACCTCTTTTTTCCTCTCTCTCTTTCAAATAGAATAAATCTTTAAAAAGTACATCTAAAAAGATACTATGAGATTTGCTTATGTACACATCAACTTGTAGTACAGGTGGTATGGTTGGTCTTAATATGTTTTTAATAAAGTTATTACTTGGGGGCCCGGCACTGTGGCCTAGCAGCTAAAGTCCTCGCCTTGAACACGCTGGAATCCCCATATGGGCACCAGTTCTAATCCTGGCAGCTCTACTTCCCATCCAGCTCCCTGCTTGTGGCCTGGGAAAGCAATTGAGGACGGCCCAAAGCCTTGGGACCCTGCACCCATGTGGGAGACCTGGAGGAAGTTCCTGGCTCCTGGCTTTGGATTGGCTCAGCACTGGCCGTTGCGGTCACTTGGGGAGTGAATCATGGGCGGAAGATCTTCCTCTCTTTCTTCCTCTCTGTAGATCTGACTTTTCAATAAAAATAAATAAATCTTTAAAAAAAGATAAAGTTACTATTTGGATCTTTTCTAATAATACAAGGTGATAATAAATTACAGCTGTTTATGTGACTTACACTCAGTGGTGGTAATTTTCTTTAAAGATTTATTAAAGGCAGATATACAGATAGGAACAGAGATGATGATCTTCTGTATGTTGATTCACTCCTCAAACGGCCGCAATAGCCAGAATTGCGCCGATCCAAAGCCAGGAGCCAGGAGCTTCTTCCAGTTTTCCCACATTGGTGCAGGGTCCCAAGGCTTTGGACCATCCTCGACTGCTTCCCCAGGCCACAAGCAGGGAGCTGGATGGGAAGTGGGGCCGCTGGGATTAGAACCGGCGTGTGTAAGGCCTGGACTTTAGCCACTAGGCCACTGTGCAGCACCCAGGGGTGGTAACTTTTTAAGAGACTCTGGCTAAGGTTAACTTCATGCCACGTGAAATGCTGGCTCAGAACAATTCGCATGAGAAGCCTATTACTCTGCTTTTCTCCCCTGACCTGTGTTTGGGTTTCCTGGGCACCATTTTCATCTGAACTCATGGGGACAGAACAGCTGGCCCTGGAGGCAACATTCACAGAGGTTGACTCAGCAGGTTCCCCGCAGGGAGAGGTGGGCGGAGCCTAGCAACTGGGTGCCAGCAGCTTCCCTTCCTACCAGCACCCTGCCCCAACCAAGGCTTCCCCTGCCCGAGCCTCCAAGGACAGGTTCCCCAAAACAACTAGGCCCAAAGGCATGGTGCTACTCAGAATTGAAGGGCCAGGAAACATGGCTTTCAAGTGTTCTGAAAATGCATCACTCTTCCAATGACTGCAATGGCTAGGTCTGGGGAGGTCCAAAGCCAAGAGCTTCTTCTGTGTCTCCTGTGTAGGTGGCAGGGGCCTGAGCGCTTGAGTCATCCTCTGCTGCTTTCCTAGATTCATTAGCTGGGAGCTGGACTGGAAGTGGAGAGGCTGGGACTTGAACCAGTGCCCACATGAGATGTTGGCATTACAGGCAAAAGGTTTTACCTGCTAAGCCACAACACAGGTCCTGCAAATTTCTGCTCTGTAAGCAAGTGAAGCGTGTTACTAAGCTTCTCATGACGCAGTGCGTGACAGCACCCACTCCCCTTCACTTGCCTCATATTCACTTGCAGATGAACGGTAAAGTGATTTATTTTAGAAAACTTTATTAGCTTTATTTTACAGAGCCTGCATTCGGGCCATTCTTTAGAAAAGAATGTTTGATAAATTATAATGCAGTTAGCTGTGCCTGCAGATTACTGGTGAGGTTCAGAAAAAAAGGCAAAGATAAATCAGTTCCTTATTGTCACAACCCAAAACATGACAAGATGCTGTTCCTGAGAATGCCAATGCCAAACTTTCCTCAGAGCCAGGCAAGATGCTGATGGGAGAAGGGAGGGGGTGTGTGAGAAAGCCCTGTTGTGTAGAGGTCTTAATAAGACACTTTTTGATAAAAAGACTTTTCTAGAAAGCAGCCTAGGAGCAGCATGGTGGCACAGAACGTTAAGCCACTATATGCGATGCCGCTCCACTTCCGATCCAGCTCCCTGCTGAGTCTGGGGGAGTAGTGAAAGATGCCCCAAGTGCTTGGGTCCCTACACCCACGTGGAAGACCCACAACAAGTTACCAACCCTGGGCATTGTAGCCATCTGGGGAGTGAACCAAGCAAGACGGTCTCTCCCTCCCTCCAGACAAATAAATTTGAAAAACAAGGAAGGAAGCCAAGCCAAGCGGGTCCACAGGTCCTAGCTATATGCTTAGCTCCTAGGGTGGCACTGTGCAGTCTAGCGTGGACACAGGAGGTCAGCTGTGAGAGACACACGCCACTTACCTCCCGGATGTCGTTCTCCTTGGTGACATGTCTGGCAATGTAGCGGACAGAGTCGAGCGCGGCCTCCAGGGTGTTCCTGGGCGCCCGGGGCGCGGCCCTGCTCTCGGCTTCCTCCCTCTGTGCGCGGTAGCGGTCGGCGTGACTCCTCATGCACAGCAGCCTGGGCAGCTGGTGGAGAAAGAGCCTGCGGACCCAGGGCGCCATGGCGTCGTGCGTGGAGGACGAGCGATGGTGGATGTTGATGGCGAAGACGGTCACCATGATGGACAGGGTCACGAAGATCATGGTGAACACCAGGTACTCGCCGATGAGCGGGATGACTTTGGATGAGGATGGGATGATCTCCTCGATGACCAGCAGGAAGACGGTGAGCGAGACGAGCACGGAGGTGCAGAGGGAGATCTTCTCGCCCTCGTTCGAGGGCAGGTAGAAGACGAGCACGGTGAGGAACGAGAGGCCGATGCACGGGATGATGAGGAAGAGGGTGTAGAAGAGGGGCAGACGCTTGATCACGAAGGAGTAGGTGACATACGGGTACCAGCAGCAGCTGTCGCTTCGGTTGCCCCTGCTCCCCGTGGCGCTCACGATCTCCCATTCTCCGTTGTCAAAGAAATCCCTCTTGTCCACATGCTGGTCCTCCAGGACGATGTCCACCTGCGAGCCGTCATAGGTCCACGAGCCAAACTTCATGGAGCAGTTCTGCAGGTCGAACGGGAAGAAGGTGACATCGATGGTGCAGGAGCTCTTGTAGTTGGCTGGTGGCGTCCAGGTGACGGTGCCGTTGTACCTGACCACGGTTTTTGTGCTGGCCGCTTCAAAACGTCCATCTGCACTAAAACACACACATGCACACACACACACATAACAATGGAGAAAGTTAATAAGCCGAAGTTTGCATTTTACAAGCTTCATGTAACAGATTCTGTAACAGATGGCATCATTTTTAAAATTCTTACCTAGCAACATCTTCTTTAAACATCTCCCTCTACCAGAACGGAGAGCTTTGAAAAATACCCTCGCCAGACCTGGAAGTGGGTGTTTGTCCCTAAGAAGGTCCATAGGCTATCCGAGGCTGTGGTGTGAAGCCCTCCTTACCCGCCTGCCAGTAATGTGAGCTTGGCCTCTGTCTCCTTACTGGAAAACACGTGGTTACGCTCAGTCCACGACATGGCTGTAAGGAGGACATGAGCACCTGAGGCCAGCCACGACACGAGTCGGCCGCTTGGGTCAGCTGTGTGACTCAGGGTGAGGGGGTGAGGGGTTCATCACAGGTGACACCTCCTCCATTCCTCCACTTCCTCCTCCATTCCTCCCAACTTCCTTACGTCTTTCTGTACTCCCCGCATCTCTTGCTGCTTTCAGAAATCAGCAATCATTTTTGTGAACTGCAAACAGGACACCAAGAAGGAAGAGAAAAGCCATGGATCCCACTGGCAGGTTCATGACACGAAATGCCTGTATCAGGTCTGGCGTTTCCAAAAGAGAGGAGGCATTCCTGCTCCCTGAGTTGGCTTCATCTGCCGTCTGCAGGGCAAGTTGTACGCACGGGGTATGCTCACAGTGGAACTTACTTGTCAAACAGCACGATGTCTGGGGTCCAGAGGGAATCCGAGGGCACCCGGATCATCTTGATCCCTCCATAGTCTTCGGGGTTCCACCGGAGCTTGGCATCTATCCATTGCTTTAAGACACAGAAGTTGGCCTCAGTGGCCAATGTCCTTCTGATGGCCAGAGAGCAAAGCCCTGTCTCCTTCTGCAGGGATGCTGGCCATGGTCCTGGGCACACAGCTGGGTGTGTCCATGGCCTTGAAGCCACAGGACCCTCTAGCCCAGGTTCAAGCACAATATTTCTCTTTTCCACCCTAGTGGGCTGGAATGGTTCAGGAAAGGGGGAGCTAGATTTCTTACACATTCCATATATTTAACCTCCTGTTCAATCTGCGTGTAAGTACAAGGACCACGGGAGGAGCTGCACCCAGGGCAGGGCTTGTGGCCCAGCAGTTAAGATGCTGTTGGAGATACATGCTTCCCACAGCACAGCATCTGGGCCCAAGTCCTGCTTCTGCCCCCCAACTCTGGCTTCCTTCTTAATGTACCCCTGAGAAGGCACTGGGTGATGGTTCAAGTGGGTGGATCCCTGATATGCATGGGGAATGCCCACCAGGATGGAGTTCCTGGCTTCCAGCTTTGGCCTGGCCCAGTACTGGCTGTTGCAGGCATTCAGAGAGTGGATCAGTGGATGGGTGCTTTGTCAAAAAAGAGTTGTCCCCTCCGCACCTGGCCAGTCCACCTGCCTTTGAGGAGTTGGGTTAGGGAACTGGCAGCAGCAGGTCTGACGATCAGGGATGATGACAGAACAGAGGAACACCCGACAACAGTGGTGGACTCATGTATGTTGGTCCCTCACAGAAAGCACTTCATAGAAAAGGGACTCAGGACAGCCCAGTGTTCGCTTATAGCCATGCTCATGCCCCTGTCACTCAGAAAAGCTGGAACTCCCACGGAGACTCTGCAGCCCCCACTCCTCAGCTTCCTGTTCCCTGTATCCTAGACTCCTCCCCGTAGCTCACCTCTATGTCCATCCCCTGCCCTGGCAGGGTAGCTGGCACTCAGACTAAAGAGCCACATCCACCCCCACCCCGTCTGCATCCCATCAGCCCACCCAGACTACATAGCTCAGCTGCTTGGGGCTGCCCTCCCTGTAGTCACCAGTCGTGCCTGTCACCAGTTGAGGACCCATGGGAACTTCATACATACTTGCTTCAACCAGACATTCGTTGTCATTAGTTGGTTTTTTTCATCCTGAAAGATAAAAATTATAAATAGAGTTGCTGATGCCCGTGAAAAATACAGACCTTCTTTTTTATTTTTTAAAGATTTATTTATTTTTATAGAGAGAGGAGGAGAGACAGAGAGGAAGATCTTCCATCCGATGATTCACTACCCAAGTGACCACAATGGCCAGTGCTGAGCCAATCCGAAGCCAGGAGCCAGGAACTTCCTCCAGGTCTCCCACGTGGGTGCAGGGTCCCAGGACTTTGGGCCGTCCTCAGCTGCAAGCCACAAGCAGGGAGCTGGATGGGAAGTGGAGCTGTCGGGATTAGGCCAGCATCAATATGAGATCCCGGCGTGTTTAAGGCAAGGACTTTAACCGCTAGGCCACAGTGCCGGGCCCTACACAGTCCTCTACATTAGAATGCCCACGTGTTCCGCAAACAGCTCTGTGCCATGATGCCCACACTCTGCATCCAGTCTGGTTTGCGAGAAAGGCAGGATCCTTTCCCAGCCCAGCTGCTTCCTTCCAACCCACTCTGGGGTCAGTTTCAGATTTGTCATTCACGGTGCAAACTACTACATTTTCTCAAACCTAAGAGGCAATTCCAGATAGGAGGGTAGCACAATCTTATGTGTTTAACACCGCAAGGGGGAGAGAGCTTGCCAATGAACTGTGAACTAGCCTTAAATACAGGACATCTGTAAAAGATGTATTTGTTTACTGGTTTGTTCGTTTGTTTGTTTGTTTGAAGGCAAAGTGATACAGAGAGAGGAAGAGACAGAGACCATCCATTCTACTCCCACAACAGCCAGGGCTAAAGCCATAACCCGGAAGTCCACTGGGGTTTCCCAAGTGAATGGCAGGGACTCAAGCACTTGGGTCATCCTCTGTTGCTTTCTCAGGACACAGGCAGGGAGCTGGATGGGAAGTGGAACAGCCGGGATATATACTGGTACTCATATGGGATCCCGGAGCTTATAAGAGAACGAGTAACCAATCTGAGCCCTCATGCAGCTTTTCTCCATTTCCAGAACCACTGAGATGTGTCACCTATCCTTTCCCGATCAATGCTATACCCACAGTTTCCCAGATGGTCAAGGCCTAAGTGGAGTGACATTTCTTCCATGAAATCTTATTGGAGTCTCGTGGAACCCAGGGATCCAGTGATAGTCTGTCATGGTCACCCCACCACACATACACACACACACCCCTCATGCAGGATGACACAGTGTGGGCACAGCATGGGGCAGGAGGATGGGGGCAGCCAGCTCAGCTAAGTGGTGGTGACACAGGGCACAGGACTCCAGTCCTGGGAGGGCTCCCTCGGAGCAGGGGGAGAATGTGTGCTTAGACACCTGGCAAGGCCATCTCCCCTCCGCTGGAGCCCACAAGGCAGTCGTCCTTGATGATAACCCTGAGCTGGCGAGGACTCTGACGTCTTAGCGATTTCTTCATTCCACAGATCCAGAAACAGACTCAGGGAGGCGACTTGCCTAGAACCACACCAACTCCTAAAAAAACCTTACAGCACCTGCTCTACCAGTCAACCCCAGCCACCTGTCACGCCAAGCAGCTAACAACCCCTCTGTCAGAATCTGCCCATTAGAGGCCAGGTTCTAGGCAGAGGCCTTCACAGCTCAGAAAGTCCTGGTGAGCCCATCACCACGAGATGGTCGGGCAAGAGGTCAATTTTGAGAATCTAATGAAAATCACGGGCTCCTCCCCCAGGAAATAATGTGAAAGCATATAACATTTGCTCCGTGGGTTGAGGGCCAGGCAATGTTTACAGTTCAAAAAGCAACAGAAATCAAGGAAAAACAGCTAAGTTTTCAAATTCCTCTGAAGACATAGCAGTTGGCCATGACCTCATACCATGTGACCTCAAGGGAACAAGGTAGAGATCTGAGGAAGATTCAAGGAAAACCCATCCAAAATGATGACAGAGTAGAGGGTACCGACTTCAGTGATACAGAGATCAAACACTGCAGAAGCACTGCAGTGAGTGCTCCATCCCCGCTCTCCAGGGGCCTCAGCCCCTGACCTCCTGGACAGTCTGTCCCTCTCTTCTTCCTCTCCTTCCTGGCTTTACAAAGCCCTAACACGCCGACCTTGACTTCCTGCCCTCTTAGCTCAGCGCCGCCTTGACTTTCTGAGGTCTCCAGAATGGTCACCTTGAAGCTCACCACCGAGAGCTCATGTAACCACTGACCATGTTCCCAATGTCTGCTGTACCTCGCTGCTTGTCACTCAGGATTCAACACTCCCTCCATCCATCCCCTGGAGCAAGTCCTGTCCCTGTTGTGTGGTCGTCCAACTCGCCTCTTAAGCCACTGTACCTCCTGCCCCCGCTGAACCCTGACTTACCACCACTCCACGCTAGGTATATTACCACCAGTCCTCCAGTGCTGCTTTTCCCAATTAGATCACTTCCCGAATGCCCAGTTAAAAAAACAAACAACAAGCCAGACACTGCGCCAGGCTCTGGGACAGAACATGAGGGTGAGAAGCTGCCTGTGTTGCGTGGCAGATGCCAGGCCAGAGTGCCTGGGCCCCAGGCACTGTGCAAGAGAATAAGGCTGAGGAGTTGCTGTCTTAGGGAGTCTGGGAAGTCTTTATCTGGTAAATGAAGTTGGCCTTTTAGAATACAGGAAGGCTCTCCAAGTACAAGAAAAAGACTGGCACGAGGGCATGGTGAGTGGCAGGGCAGGCGCCATTGCCAGACTGCCCCTAGTGCTGTGGGGCTCCACCAAAAGGCTCCAGATCACACGGCTGCATCATATTCAAGAACTGTTCCTCTGTGTGTTATCAAGCCCTATGCTGCCTACGAGGCCAGCTCAGGTGCCCCCTCTGCAGTTGCTGCCCACTTAGACTGTCTCAGTCCTCAAAGCTGAATTCGCAGTTCCTTGGGGCATGGTCACATAGGTGCCAACAGCCCCAATTGTAAGGGCAAGAGCCATGGCCCTGACTTCTACTTACCCATTTGTGTTTATGGTGTCCAGCACAGGGCTGGGCAAGGGCCCAAGGATTTTCAGCGGCCTTTCTGGAAGCAACAAAGTGACACATCAGTGGAGTTCCACAGGCTCTTGGGTTCATGGAAAGGACAAATACAGACATCCAGGCACACAGTGACAACATTTTTGTCACTCAGAGTAAGAAGACTGGGGACAATCTTCTGCCAACAATAAGCAGGCTGCATGAAGAAATTACAGTGACTGACAACCCCAGCTGAGACCACACACTCCACGTCAGGGTGTGTGACTTGGGTTCCCGGCTTCAGCCCTGAACTCTAACTTCCTGCCAGCACAGATGCTCGGATGCAGCAGGTGGCACTCTGGCGCGGTGCCTGACATCCCCGTGAGAGACCGGGATCAAATTCTCAGCTCTGGGTTCTGTATGCTGGTGGTTGTAAAGCAAACCAGCAAGCGAGCTTTTGTTCATGCAAATTATATTTGAAGATCACTTAATGAAAGGAAAATGTTCATCATGGAAACAGCAGGAGAATAAATTGATAGGAACCAAAATTATAGCTAGGATTCTTTCCATTTGTGACATACCCAAAGGGGGGGGGGAGGAAAAAACTGGTCAGAAATACAAGAAAGGGTTAACATTAGTCTGCTGCAAGTTGTAGAATTAGAATTCACTTTAAGGGCCTGGCGCAGTGGCCTAGCGACTAGTCCTTGCCTTGAATGAGCCAGGATCCCAAATGGGTGCTGGTTCTAATCGCGGCAGCTCCATTTCCCATCCAGCTCCCTGCTTGTGGCCTGAGAGAACAGTTCAGAATGGCCCAAAGCCTTGGGACCCTGCACCCATGTGGAAGACCCATAAGAGCTCCTGGCTCCTGGCTTCAGATCAGCACAGCACTGGCCACTGTGGTCACTTGGGGAATGAATTATCAGATGGAAGATCTTCCTCTCTGTCTCTCCTCCTCTCTCTGTATAGCTGACTTTGCGATAAACGTAAAATAAATCTTTTAAAAAAACAGAATTCACCTTTAATTTTTTATTGGCATTTTGGGGGGCACTTTCTAAATTCTTCACAAACATCATGTATCAGTGCTCCAATCAGAAAATCAAGTCATACACATATTTTTGCATATACATATTATAGCATATAGCAAATATGTATAGGATATACATATTTCATATACACATATATGTGTGTACATGTATGTATATCTATACATATCTTATACATATTAAGATCTTTGTGGATCTCTCTGGGAACACAGCAGGGAAATAATCACTGACTGACATGATCAGAACTAGCAGAAAGTAGTTTACTAGTTGACGTGGACTTTTTTCGGTTTCACTAAAGGATCTGTCTCGACAGTCAGACTGAGTTATCAAGACAATGACGCTCCCTTGTGGATGTCACTTGGAGACCTCGGGACCTGTTTTCGGTGTGGCAGTGAGGCGTGGAGGGTGTGCTGCGGCACTTACAATCCCAAGAACCGATGACCCTCATCTGCTTAACGTTGTCAAGGAGCAGTGTCGGCACAAAACAGCTGAATATCTTAGTTTGTTAAAAAGATCAGGAGCTGACACCGCGGTACAGTAGGCTAAGCCTCTGCATGAGGTGCTGGCACAGTCTAAGGGTACGCGTTCATGTCCTGACTGCTCCACTTCTGATCCAGCTCCTTGGATCAAGTCCTTGAGCTCCTCCACCCTTGTGGGAGACTCAGAAGAAGCTCCTGGCTCCTGGCTTCAGATGGGCTCAACTCCAGCTGTCACGGGCATTTGGGGAGTGAACCAGCAGATGGAAGATGTCTCTGACTCTCCTTTTCTCTATAACTCTATCTCTCAAATAAAAATAACTCTTTAAAAATAATTAAATATCAGACGTATTGTGATGGCTACATATGATCAAATACTTTCTAAACGATCTAGCACTATGCAGACACAGAGTATTGCTTTTTAAAATAACTGTGTTCCCTGATGACAGCCCTGAGGAAAAGCTGGATGTCTCACGCACCAGGGAGCCCAGTGCCTCGGCACATGGAAGACTCACCACGCCAGATGGGAAAATGCTGGGCACACCTACCACGTCCACCAGCTGGGAGATTGCAAGGCCAAATTTGATTTTGATCTTGTCATGCAGGTGCTCCACGGGACGAACCCATCTTTCGTAGTTTTGAAACAAATCCTTGAACAAACTGTCTTCGTGTTTTGCCATCAAGGATGGCTCGGACAATCCTGTACAACAAATGTGTAAAAGTTAGTGCATTGGGCTTTTCTTTTCCACCATACAGGAATACTTAAAAAAAAAATCAGCATTTTTAATGAACCAAACTGAAATGTGGGCCATGTTACTGTAGCTTTTTCAGTGAAATACTGATCCAAACACCTGTACTCAAGTAAGAGATACTGCTTCACACAGAATCCTCCATTACACCAGTCTGCTCACTATGGCAACAGGCCAACCTCCCCAGAAACATTTAGTAGTTAACACAGAGTCATTTAGCGTAGGAAAAGCAAGGGTTTTAAAGTGGCCAGGGACAGGGGAATTACTTATCAAAAATTTCTGAGCAAAGAGAACAGACACATTGAGGTAAAGGCCATTTATCACCGGAAATGCAGGTAAGCATGTTTTCCTTTGCATAATATTAGCATATGTGCATTATTTAGACTTGTCATAGTATTGTCCGCTATACACATGTCTAAAATTACTTCAGGGCCTAAATCTGTTTTAGATTTATTTATTTATTATTTTTAAAAATAATGATTAAATGATTGATCAGTGGGAAGGATCAAGGTTTAGGGAAAATTGGGTAAATTCATTGCTTCCAAATTTGCTGTTTCTTCTTGTTGTTCCTGGGGGAAGGGGAGAGACAAAGGGGGAAACCACTCATGACTTTCCACACGTCCCAGTACCCAGGGTTGAGGAACCGCCACCTCACATCAACCCAGAGTCTCAACGTGTATATATTCCGAGGGTTCTGTCCAAGTGGTTTGGATAGTTCTGAAATGCTGTTGATTTCAGCAATCTGAGGATGACGTCACCCTCCCAATGTCCATTGGCTCCATTCACCAAGATTTTTTACTGTCATGGTTGGTTTGGTGTTGTTGTCCAGTTAGTTCTGTTGCAGCACCAAATGTGTTGCCATATTCTCCTTTAGCATCAGGGCCTGTGTCCACTGCTCCACCTTCTTCATTAAGCAGGACATGTTCTTGCAGGTGAGTCCAAGTAGCTGGGCCAGGTGTCCCGAGTGTCACCGAAGCCCCCTCCCATGGGGCTCATGAACCTGTCACCCACCTAGTCGGAGGGCCCTGGTACCTGGGCCAGGAGACCCAAGCCCCACCAGATTTCCCTCACCCCAGGGTTCACGAAACCAAACCCCACTTATAGGCGGGGCCCAGGATCTAGGACATGTGACCCACACCCCATCAGTTCCCCTGTCCCCCAGGGCTCAGGAACCCATCCCCCACCACACAGGTGGGCCCCATGGCTTGAGCTAATTTTAAAAGCAAAAACAAGGGGTTGATGCCATGGCAAAGCACGTTAAGCTTCTTCCTGTGGTGCTGGCACACCCCACACGAGGTTAAAGTCCCTGTTGTTCCACTTCTAATCCAACTTCCTATTAATCACCTGAGAAAGTGACAGAGGATGGCCCATGTGGGATACCTGGAAGAAGCTCCTGGCTGCAGATCAGCTCAGTTCCAGCTACTGAGGCCATTTGGGAAGTGAACCAGTGGTCAGAAATCTCTGCCTTTGTCTCTCTAACTCTCTCTTTCAAATAAAAATTGAACTTTTTTTTTTTTTTTACATTTCAGATCCTAATGGCAAAGACTGCTTAGATCTGTGTCACAGTCACAATGACATATCTCCTGAGCTGAAAGAAACCTTGACAGAAATAAGACTTTCTGGGATTTCTGGACCAGAGTCTGTGAAAGAAAGGTAACAAATATGGGTGAAGTTCAAACATGACACTGACTCAGGACTAACAACTTTCTGAAAAACATTTTTTTAAAGTTTTTTTTTTTACTTGAAAGGCAGATTTATAGAGAGAATAAGATACACAAAGAAAGATCTTCCATCCGCTGGCTGACTCCCCAAGTGGCCACAGTGGCCAGAGCTGAGCCAATCCAAAGCCAGAAGCCAGGAGCTTCCTCCAGGTCTCCCACAGGGGTGCAGGGTCCCAAGGCTTTGGGCCGTCCTTGACTGCTTTCCCAGGCCACAAGCAGGGAGCTGAATGGGAAGTGGAGCAGCCAGTACTCAAACAAACGCTCACATGGGATCTTGGCACTTGCAAGGTGAGGATATTTTTTCTTTTTGGTGCCAAAAATGCCACTGGCACACACAGAGTGACACACAGGCAGCTGGTTGGGATGGGCTCCAAGCACAGAAAAATGGGGTTTGCCAGAAAAGGTGGCCCTTACACAAACTCTCCCCTTCCCATTAGATGCATGGTAGCACCTCTTCACAGAGCTGAGCTGCTCTGAACCGCGCCACTCCCATCCTCCCCCTCTGCCCTTTCCTCCGTTTCCATAGCAGCTCCAGGATATCCACCCTGCTCCCTTGAGCAGTGCAAGCACTGCATGTAATCTACGATTGAGCTTCAGCCACGCCTCTCATCCAAGTTTCTTAGGGCTGAAACGCAGAGCAGCACAGAAATGGAGACGCAATTAGAGTACCGGTCATTCTTCATGTTTCGAGGTTCCAGTTAAAATGCCATCATGCAACCATTTTTCCTCTTTCAATATCATCTAAAAATGTTATGGTCTCTGAAAGAACGAAACTTACGACTGTTTAGAAAGATTAAAAGAACGTAAACGTACTTTCAGTAGCAGCTAAAGATCTCTCACCACCAACACCCCCTGTGGGGGAACACCGCCTGTGGGGAAGAACATTATCCTGAATAGCCATCTCAAATTTTGTTTGAAAGCGAATAGGGCATCAATCAAATGGTAATGCAATTTTCTACCTAATGAGAACCTTAACATATGGTTTTGTGGATATCTCTGTAATGTATTGAATGTTGCAAATGTTCTTGGCATTCCTGGCACGCACTCTACAAGAAATAGCAGGTGCAAATGTCAGTGATGGTTTAGCACAAAACTTGGATGGTGCTGTTTAATTCTACTTATCCGTCTTGTTCTCTTGGCTGGCTCTAAATGTGTATGCTGCTCACAGCTCCCGAGCATTAGGAAGCAGACGGGCCAACGCCCTCCTCTGAGAGCTCCAGCCCACACTGAATTTTGTTCATTTATCCATTCAGTCAATACTTACTGCAAACACACTTGACACCAGACAGGAGCTGGGAACACACCAGGACAAACAACGCACAGCACGCAGACGTACGGTCCAGCGGGAAAGACTGAGGGCCCGTGTGCCATATTATACACAAGGTCACCTCTGGATCAGCTGGATCAAAGAGGATGTTTCCTTTTAAAAAGTCATTTTGAATAATCAAGGTTTGCCTTGCCTTTTCAAAATCAGTATTTTGATTTATTTGAAACACAGAGTTACAGAGAGGAAGAGACAGAAGAGAAGAGAGAAATCTTCCATTCATTGGTTCACTTAGCCAAATACCTGCAACAATCCAAAGCCAGGAGCCAGAAGCTTCATCAAGGTCTCCCATGTGCGTGCAGGTGTCCATGCAATTTGGTCATCCTCAGCTGCTTTCCCAGGCACAACAGCAGGGAGCTGGATCAGAAATGGAACAGCCAGGATCCAAACAGGCACCCATATGGGATGCTGGTGCTGGAAGTGGCAGCCCTACCTGCTATACCATACAGCCAGTCCTCCACCCCCAAATCAGTACTTAAATTAATTATGTTCTGGTCAGTGTTGTTGCATAGTGAATTACATTGCTGCCTGTAACACCAGCATCCAATGTGTGTGCTGTCTGGAGACACAGCTGCTTCACTTCTAATCCACTTCAACTATTAAAGCACCTGGGAAAGCAGCAGAAGACAGTCCAGGTGCTTGGATTCCTGCACCTACAGCGGAGACCTCAAAGAACTGCAGGCTCCAGGCTTGCCCTGGTCAGTCACTGCAGTTACTGGGGGAGTAAACCAGCAGATAAGACTATCTCTTTCTCCCTCCCTGATTCCACTTTTTCTCTGTAACTCTACCTTAAGTAATCCTTAAGTTTTGGGCCGTTAACATGTGTGCATTCCATTATTCAACATCAATACTTTAATTTCAATACAGGATCCTTGGACTCAGGAAACTGACTTTTCACACTGTATTTGACGAGTGTTCCACCCTGTTTCACATATCACATCCTGTCCTGTTTTGTTCTCCACGTACAATGACTGAGTCTTAGGTTTCAAAAGAAGCCCAGTTCCAGGAGGGCAGGAATCCCATCTTGTCCTGTCATCCCTTGGCCACGAAAGGCAATAGTGATGGCAGCAGGGCTTGTCAGGGTTGAGTTTCCCTCCTCCCTTGACTTGGAAAGAGGGAACACAGAGAAAATAATTGCAAATCATGTATCGGATAAGGAAATTTTATCTAGAAAAAAATAAAGAACTGTAACAATTTGATAATAAAACACTGGGGCTGGACATGGTGGCACAGCCAGTTAAGCTGCCATCTGCGATCCAGCACCCCATGTGGGCACCAATTCCTGTTCCAATGGCCCCATTTCCAATTCTGCCCATGCATCTGCAAAGGCAGCGGAGGAAGGCTCATGTGTGACCTTTGTCACTCAAGTGGGAGACCTGGAGGAAGCCCCTGGCTCTGGCCTGGCTCAGCCCTGGCCATTGTCACTACTTGGGGAGTAAACTAACAGAAGGAAGATTCTCTCTTCCCCTAACCCACACCCCCACAGCTCTGTCATCCAATAACTAGATATTTTTAAATAATAAAAAGACTTTGGCCCAGCGTGCTGGCCTAGCAGCTAGTCCTTGCCTTGAACGCGCCAAGATCCCATATGGGCACCGGTTCTAATCCCGGCAGCTCCACTTCCCATCCAGCTCCCTGCTTGTGGCCTGGGAAGGCAGTTGAGGACGGCCCAAAGCCTTGGGACCCTGCACCCACGTGGGAGACCTGGAAGAGTTCCTGGCTCCTGGCTTCAGATTGGCTCAGCTCCAGCTGTTGGGGCTGCTTGGGGAGTGAACCATCAGATGGAAGATCTTCCTCTTTGTCCTCCTCCTCTCTGTATATCTGAATTCGCAATAAAAACAAATAAATCTTTTTTAAAAAAAGAACAAATATCACATGTTCTAATATAAGGAAACCATCAA